AAAACGCAGCGCAACGCACCTAGGAGCCCGAAGAAGAAAGCAGGTGGAAGCGACCTGGAAGGAAACGCAAGCTTAGGACAAATGCGCATCAAATGCGAGTCGCTGTGCCTGCGGGGGGAGCAGCAAATGCCATGTCTGGTCTGAGGGGACCCTTCATGCAGCGACCGCGGCAGAACGCCCCCCAACGCAGGAGTGCGCAATAAGGGGTGCCAACCCTGCAGCTGAAACTGATGCTGTCACCCCCGGCCGGGCGATTTCTTTGCGGATCTGATTGAAAGCAGGAAGAAAAAAAGATCGCAGGAACATGCGCAGGAACATAGTCGCTTGAAGTGTTCAGCTTTAGATTCACATTTTTTTCTCCGTATCAGAATCCAAGGCTCGGGTCACACGGCTGCGACTTGGGATCCGACATGTGAGACCCCCGAGTCGCAGGACATGTGAGACCCCCGAGTCGCAGGTCATGTGAGACCCCCCAAGTTGCAGGACATGTGAGACCCCCGAGTCGCAGGTCATGTGAGACCCCCCAAGTTGCAGGACATGTGAGACCCCCGAGTCGCAGGACATGTGAAACTCCTGAGTCACATGACCTGTGAAATCTCATGTTAGCCAATGAGATCCATCTTAGTCTCCCTCACACTGCTGTGACCTGAAAGTCATGCGACTTACACTGCGACTTACACTGCGACTTACACTGCGACTTTGCCAGGCGACTTAAATACTACTTCACAGCAACTTTGAAGCAACTCTGCAGCGACTCTCAGGGAATGCTGGGTAATCTTCCTGTCTTGTCGGATCCAAATCACATCCATATAGAGGAGGATCCGACTCGGAGGCGACTTCCATTACAGTCTATGGGCACGAGTCGGATGACGTCGCCTGGAAGTCGCACCGGAACCTTTTCTACAGTCGCAGCGACTTCAGGAGTGATAATTAGGACGCCTCTCATTGGCTAAGGCTCAGTTCACACTATACAGGTTGCGTTTGAGCCGTTTCTGCATTGCGTTTTTGCCGCATTTTTGATGCGTTTTGCTTTTTTGTTCTTGTTGCTAAGCAGATTTAAAACACAAAACGCAGCAAAACCGCACAACACGCATTTCTGCTGCATTTTCACTGAAGTCTATAGAACCAAAAAGGCGCTGCGATTCTGCAAAATGCTTCCAAAAATGCTTCGGTGTGGACCCGGAGTAACATGGGATTTCACATGTCATGCGATTTGGGGGCCTCACAAGTCGGATCCCAAGTTGCATGAACTGAGCACTGCTGAAGTCGCTGTGACTGTAGAAAAGGTTCCGGTGCGACTTCCATCCGACTCGTGCCCATAGACTGTAATGGAAGTCCCCTCCAAGTCGGATCCTCCTCTATATTGATGTGATTTGGATCCGACGTGACAGGAAGATTACCCAGCATTCCCTGAGAGTCGCATCAAGTTGCCAGTAAGTCGCAGTAGCGCTGCTCCCAGAGGCCGGCCAGGGAACACAAAGTCCTGAGTGCTGCGCGCAGCCTCAGTGGGAACAGAGCTCCCCCCACTGGTCAAGGTTGGTAACAGCACATCTTAATGTTACTCTGCGCTGTTGTGGATGAATGGAGAACTGTCCGGGGAACATGCTGCTATAGGCTCCCTCCAGTGCTGGTCACATGATATCTGCTGAGGGGGTCCAACACTGATTACAAGAGCACATGCCTGAGCCGTGTCAGCAGTACTGATACCAGGGGCATCTCATGGGGCCCCCTACTGACCCCGGGCCCTCGGGCAGTGCCCAAGTTTCCAAATGATCAGTCCGCCCCTGCCGCTGGTCATTACACCACACTGACCCGGGACCGGTCCATCCGCACCTGACGCTGGTCATTACACTACACTGACCCGGGACCGGTCCATCCGCAGCACGCTGGTCATTACACCACACTGACCCGGGACCGGTCCATCCGCAGCACGCTGGTCATTACACCACACTGACCCGGGACCGGTCCATCCGCACCACGCTGGTCATTACACCACACTGACCCCGGGACCGGTCCATCCGCACCACGCTGGTCATTACACCACACTGACCCGGGACCGGTCCATCCGCACCACACTGACCCGGGACCGGTCCATCCGCACCACGCTGGTCATTACACCACACTGACCCCGGGACGGTCCATCCGCAGCACGCTGGTCATTACACCACACTGACCCGGGACCGGTCCATCCGCAGCACGATGGTCATTACACCACACTGACCCCGGGACCGGTCCATCCGCACCACACTGGTCATTACACCACACTGACCCGGGACCGGTCCATCCGCACCACGCTGGTCATTACACCACACTGACCCCGGGACCGGTCCATCCGCACCACACTGGTCATTACACCACACTGACCCGGGACCGGTCCATCCGCACCACGCTGGTCATTACACCACACTGACCCGGGACCGGTCCATCCGCACCACGCTGGTCATTACACCACACTGACCCGGGACCGGTCCATCCGCACCACGCTGGTCATTACACCACACTGACCCGGGACCGGTCCATCCGCAGCACGCTGGTCATTACACCACACTGACCCGGGACCAGTCCATCCGCACCGCGCTGGTCATTACACCACACTGACCCGGGACCGGTCCATCCGCACCACGCTGGTCATTACACCACACTGACCCGGGACCGGTCCATCCGCCCCTGACGCTGGTCATTACACCACACTGACCCGGGACCGATCCATCCGCCCCTGCCGCTGGTCATTACACCACACTGACCCGGGACCGGTCCATCCGCACCTGACGCTGGTCATTACACCACACTGACCCGGGACCGGTCCATCCGCAGCACGCTGGTCATTACACCACACTGACCCGGGACTGGTCCATCCGCACCACGCTGGTCATTACACCACACTGACCCGGGACCGGTCCATCCGCACCTGACGCTGGTCATTACACCACACTGACTCGGGACCGGTCCATCCGCAGCACGCTGGTCATTACACCACACTGACCCGGGACCGGTCCATCCGCCCCTGCCGCTGGTCATTACACCGCACTGACCCGGGACCGGTCCATCCGTACCTGACGCTGGTCATTACACCACACTGACCCGGGACCGGTCCATCCGCACCACACTGGTCATTACACCACACTGACCCGGGACCGGTCCATCCGCACCACACTGGTCATTACACCACACTGACCCGGGGACCGGTCCATCCGCCCCTGACGCTGGTCATTACACCACACTGACCGGGGACCGGTCCATCCGCACCACGCTGGTCATTACACCACACTGATCCGGGACCGGTCCATCCGCACCACACTGGTCATTACACCACACTGACCCGGGACCGGTCCATCCGCCCCTGACGCTGGTCATTACACCACACTGACCGGGGGACCGGTCCATCCGCACCACGCTGGTCATTACACCACACTGACCCGGGACCGGTCCATCCGCCCCTGACGCTGGTCATTACACCACACTGACCCGGGACCGATCCATCCGCCCCTGCCGCTGGTCATTACACCACACTGACCCGGAACCGGTCCATCCGCACCACGCTGGTCATTACACCACACTGACCCGGGACCGGTCCATCCGCACCACGCTGGTCATTACACCACACTGACCCGGGACCGGTCCATCCGCACCACACTGGTCATTACACCACACTGACCCGGGACCGGTCCATCCGCCCCTGACGCTGGTCATTACACCACACTGACCGGGGACCGGTCCATCCGCACCACGCTGGTCATTACACCACACTGACCCGGGACCGGTCCATCCGCCCCTGACGCTGGTCATTACACCACACTGACCCGGGACCGATCCATCCGCCCCTGCCGCTGGTCATTACACCACACTGACCCGGGACCGGTCCATCCGCACCACGCTGGTCATTACACCACACTGACCCGGGACCGGTCCACAACCAAACCCATCCGCACCACGCTGGTCATTACACCACACTGACCATACCGCCCTGCCCCCCTTGCTTTGGCTGCCCCTCGGTGGTGGGGGGCGTGTACTGCACTGTGGCCAATTGCTTGCTCTCTAGTGGCCAGTAGCTGTGCATGCGGTGTGTTTTTCGTGTCAGCTGTGCCCACCCCCCCCCCCCCCCTACGATCATGCTCAGGGCCCTGGGTACATCAAAGGTACCTGTTATTCCCCCCACCTGCAAAGACTGTACGCTCCATGGGCCGGGCCCTCCTATTCCTTCTGTATTCAACTGGACTGTATTTGTACCGCCCCCCATATATTGTACAGCGCTGAGCAAACTGCTGGTGTTATATAAGTTCTGTATAATAAAAAAAAAACACTTCAAATGTGTTGGGGCGGGGGAGGGGAAGAAGCAGCATGGAGTCGGGGGGGGGGGGGGGGGGGGGGGGGAATTACTACAATCAGAGAGGGCAGAATCTGGTGCAGCTGGACATGGGAACCAATCAGCTTTGCCAAAAACAACCTGGAAGCTGATTGGTTCCCACGCAGAGCCGCCCCAGATTCTGCCCTCTCCGGTTTTAGTAAATCCCCCCTTTGGTTTTGAAATAACAGAACTCAACTCTTCAAGCGCACTCGGGAGCAAATCATCGCATCCGGGTGCAAATCATCGGATCCGGGCGCAAATCATCGCATCCGGGCGCAAATCATCGCATCCGGGCGCAAATTATCGGATCCGGGAGCAAATCATCGGATCCGGGCGCAAATCATCGGATCCGGGCGCAAGTCATCGGATCCGGGCGCAAATCATCGGATCTGGGCGCAAGTCATCGGATCCGGGCGCAAATTATTGGATCCGGGAGCAAATCATCGGATCCAGGCACATTCTTCACCGTCCCGGATCCTGGACCATGTCAGTGCGAAGCTTCAAGGAAGAATACAATAAATAAGAACTCCAGATTTCCCGTATATTGTGTGTGAGACCCGAAGATCTATAATTGGAGGGATTTTATTCTGGTGTAATCCTCTGAATTCCACCCATTGAAGGCATCATACATTATATTGCTCCAAGTATTGCCCCCCCCCCTCGTCATGTGATTGATGTGTTCCAATCCACTCCATATCATGTGATTCAGGTGTTCCAATCCCCTCCATATCATGTGATTCAGGTGTTCCAATCCCCTCCATATCATGTGATTCGGGTGTTCCAATCCCCTCCATATTATGTGATTCGGGTGCTCCAATCCCCTCCATATCATGTGATTCAGGTGTTCCAATCCCCTCCATATCATGTGATTCAGGTGTTCCAATCCCCTCCCAATCATGTCATTCAGGTGTTCCAATCCCCTCCAATCATGTGATTCAGCTGTTCCAATCCCCTCCATATCATGTGATTCAGGTGTTCCAATCCCCTCCATGGACAAAGGTGTATACAATCCATCCCCTAGGCATGCAGACTCCTCCACTGCAGGGATTTTGGCCGACTCCTCCACACCGATCTCCTCTAGATCTGTCAGGTTTCGGGGCTGTCGCTGAGCAACACGGAGTGTCAGCTCCCTCCGAAGATGTTCTATTGGATTTAGGTGTGGAGACTGGCTAGGCCACTCCAGAACCTTGATATGCTTCTTCCGGAGCCACTCCTTGGTTCTCCTGGCTGTGTGCTTCATGTCGTTGTCATGTTGGAAGACCCAGCCACGACCCATCTTCAATGCTCTGACTGAGGGAAGGAGGTTGTTGCTGAAAATCTCACCATAAATGGCCCCATTCATCCTCTCCTTAATACAGTGCAGTCATCCTGTCCCCTTCGCAGAAAAGCACCCCCAAAGCATGATGTTACCACCCCCATGCTTCACAGTAGGGATGGTGTTCTTGGGATGCAACTCATCCTTTTTCCTCCAAACACGACGAGTGAAGTTTAGACCAAAAAGTTCTCCTTTGGTCTCATCTGACCACATGACTTTCTCCCATGCCTCCTCTGGATCATCCAGATGGTCATTGGCAGACTTCAGACGGGCCTGGACATGTGATGACTGGAGCAGGGGAACCTTCAGACGGGCCTGGACATGTGATGACTGGAGCAGAGGAACCTTCAGACGGGCCTGGACATGTGATGACTGGAGCAGGGGAACCTTCAGACGGGCCTGGACATGTGATGACTTGAGCAGGGGAACCTTCAGACGGGCCCGGACATGTGATGACTTGAGCAGGGGAACCTTCAGACGGGCCCGGACATGTGATGAATTGAGCAGGGGAACCTTCAGACGGGCCTGGACATGTGATGACTGGAGCAGGGAACCTTCAGACGGGCCTGGACATGTGATGACTGGAGCAGGGGAACCTTCAGACGGGCCTGGACATGTGATGACTGGAGCAGAGGAACCTTCAGACGGGCCTGGACATGTGATGACTGGAGCAGGGGAACCTTCAGACGGGCCTGGACATGTGATGACTGGAGCAGAGGAACCTTCAGACGGGCCTGGACATGTGATGACTGGAGCAGAGGAACCTTCAGACGGGCCTGGACATGTGATGACTGGAGCAGGGGAACCTTCCGTGCAATGCATGATTGGAAACCATGACGACGTAGTGTTCTACCGACAGTGACCTGTGAAACTGTGGTCCCAGCTCTCTCCATGTCATTGAGCAGCTCCTCCCTTGTAGTTCTGGGCTGATTCCTCACCTTTCTTATCATCAGTGATACCCCACGAGGTGACATCTTGCATGGGGCCCCAGTCCGAGGGAGACTGACAGTCGTCTTCAGCCTCTTCCATTCTCTAACAATTGCTCCAACAGTTGATCTATTTTCACCAAGCTGCTTGGCAATTGCCCCGTAGCCCTTTCCAGCCTTGTGGAGGTCCACAATTTTGTCTCTGGTGTCTTTTGACAGCTCTTTGGTCTTGCCCATGGTAGTAGTTGGCGTCTGACTAACTGTGGGGTGGACAGGTGTCTGTAAAGAGCTCAGACAGGGGCTACTAAGTGAGATGAATGAGTGGAGTAGAGGGGGGCTTTATAAAGGCGCAGTAACAGGTCTTTGAGAGCCAGAATTCTTGCTGCTTCTCAGGGGTTCAAATACTTCTGTTCAGCCGTGCGAGACAAATACATTCTTTACAAATCATACAATGTGATCTCCTGAGTTCTGTCCTCAGAGTGGGAATCCCCTGCAATGTGATCTCCTGAATTCTGTCCTCAGAGTGGGAATCCCCTGCAATGTGATCTCCTGAATTCTGTCCTCAGAGTGGGAATCCCCTGCAATGTGATCTCCTGAATTCTGTCCTCAGAGTGGGAATCCCCTGCAATGTGATCTCCTGAATTCTGTCCTCAGAGTGGGAATCCCCTGCAATGTGATCTCCTGAATTCTGTCCTCAGAGTGGGAATCCCCTGCAATGTGAATGTCAGACCCTCCATGATGGAGAAGTGGGAGAACTTACAGAATCGCAGGGGGTTCAAATACTTCTGTTCCTCACTGTATATGTTCACCTCTCATCTGGCGGCCGTCCAATCAGCCGTCTCCTGCTGGGTGAACACCAGACCAGACCCAGATATGTCAGCTCAGAGAGGGCAATTGGACCGTACGGCCCGGCAGAGCGGCCTCCATGGGCCTCGCAAGCAACGGCGTGTCAAATTCTCACCGACAGAACGGTAAGCGGCAGACTGCGAGGGGAAGCGGCTCCATCCTTCCTGAGCCCAATCCTCAGCGAGCTCATCCATCCGATCCCGGCTCCTCGGCTCACTCCACCTCGGCCTGCTGGGAATCGGCCGCTGTTGGTGAGTCATGTAAACGAAGAACTAAAATCCATCAGGATCCTCCCCAGTGAAGCTTCTCCGTCCATCCGGAGTTCTGCTTTACTTCTGCTTTCTAGAACATTGGAGCTCGCCTGGGCAGCCGGAAAACTCGGAGGATTCTTCGATGGGAATAACCGGAACTTCAACTGATTGCTGGCCGGTCAAACTGCCATCAGTGTGCGGCTGATCCTGAACCGCCATCCGTGTGCGGCTGATCCTGAACCGCCATCCGTGTGCGGCTGATCCTGAACCGCCTTCCGCGTGCGGCTGATCCTGAACCACCATCAGTGTGCGGCTGATCCTGAACCGCCATCAGTGTGCGGCAGATCCTGAACGGCCATCAGTGTGCGGCTGATCCTGAACCGCCATCCGCGTGCGGCTGATCCTGAACCGCCATCCGCGTGCGGCTGATCCTGAACCGCCTTCCGCGTGCGGCTGATCCTGAACCGCCATCAGTGTGCGGCAGATCCTGAACGGCCATCAGTGTGCGGCTGATCCTGAACCGCCATCCGTGTGCGGCTGATCCTGAACCGCCATCCGCGTGCGGCTGATCCTGAACCGCCTTCCGCGTGCGGCTGATCCTGAACCGCCATCCGTGTGCGGCTGACCCTGAACCGCCATCCGTGTGCGGCTGACCCTGAACCGCCATCCGTGTGCGGCTGACCCTGAACCGCCATCAGTGTGCGGCTGACCCTGAACTGCCATCCGTGTGCGGCTGAACTGCCATCCGTGTGCGGCTGATCCTGAACTGCCATCCGTGTGCGGCTGATCCTGAACTGCCATCCGTGTGCGGCTGATCCTGAACTGCCATCCGTGTGCGGCTGACCATGAACTGCCATCTGTGTGCGGCTGACCCCGAACTGCCATCCGTGTGCGGCTGAACTGCCATCCGTGTGCGGCTGATCCTGAACTGCCATCTGTGTGCGGCTGACCCTGAACTGCCATCCGTGTGCGGCTGACCCTGAACTGCCATCCGTGTGCGGCTGATCCTGAACTGCCATCCGTGTGCGGCTGATCCTGAACTGCCATCCGTGTGCGGCTGACCCTGAACCGCCATCAGTGTGCGGCTGACCCTGAACTGCCATCCGTGTGCGGCTGATCCTGAACTGCCATCCGTGTGCGGCTGATCCTGAACTGCCATCCGTGTGCGGCTGATCCTGAACTGCCATCCGTGTGCGGCTGACCCTGAACTGCCATCCGTGTGCGGCTGACCCCGAACTGCCATCCGTGTGCGGCTGAACTGCCATCCGTGTGCGGCTGATCCTGAACTGCCATCCGTGTGCGGCTGATCCTGAACTGCCATCCGTGTGCGGCTGACCCTGAACTGCCCATTCGTGTGCGGCTGACCATGAACTGCCATCTGTGTGCGGCTGACCCCGAACTGCCATCCGTGTGCGGCTGAACTGCCATCCGTGTGCGGCTGATCCTGAACTGCCATCCGTGTGCAGCTGACCCTGAACTGCCATCCGTGTTCGGCTGACCCTGAACTGCCATCCGTGTGCGGCTGATCCTGAACTGCCATCCGTGTGCGGCTGATCCTGAACTGCCATCCGTGTGCGGCTGACCCTGAACTGCCATCCGTGTGCGGCTGACCCTGAACGGCCATCCGTGTGCGGCTGATCCTGAATGGCCATCCGTGTGCGGCTGATCCTGAACGGCCATCCGTGTGCGGCTGATCCTGAACTGCCATCCGTGTGCGGCTGATCCTGAACGGCCATCCGTGTGCGGCTGATCCTGAACGGCCATCCGTGTGCGGCTGATCCTGAACGGCCATCCGTGTGCGGCTGATCCTGAACGGCCATCCGTGTGCGGCTGATCCTGAACGGCCATCCGTGTGCGGCTGATCCTGAACGGCCATCCGTGTGCGGCTGATCCTGAATGGCCATCAGTGTGCGGCTGATCCTGAACTGCCATCAGTGTGTGGCTGATCCTGAATTAAATGGGCTGCCAGGACGTCACAAATGGCGCACACACGCCGCAATGCATGTCCGTTGGGGGGGCCATTCAGAATCATTCCGTGTGAATGGGCCCGTCTTTTGATGTTATTATCGTTTCAAAGGCCATTTATGATTTTTTTTCCATATATATATCTGCAGCTTTCAATAATACAATCCTGAGTTGATCCTGCCATGGAGGTCCTTCCTCAGACACTTCCTGTTATGCGGTGACAACACCTTGCCTCATCTTCCTAATGGGTTCCTGAGTTGTCACCCTGAGTTGGAAACGTTCTGCAGACATGGTCCATCAGGAATCCCGCCCAGAGAAATGCCACGCAGCCTTTGCTGAAGTGCCTGGAGGCGCGGGGGGGGATTTAACAACAAAAAGTTTCATCTCACCCCCCCGGTGTGGCCGATTATACAGACAGGAGGAATTCTCTACACGGCCTCTGGATTCCAGGTTGTAGGTTTCACAGAAATGGAACGGTATCAAAGGCTTCCCTATATTCCTTCTATGAATACACAATGGTCCTGTCTGCGGATTCACTGCCAATGGATCTCCATTGACCATCAGTCAGGGACCTGTCTGGCTACAGTCGTTCCGGGTCCCTGGAAGGGTACTCCAGGCTTTCCTACGAGTCGTCTTCTAGGAACATCCAATCGTCTTGTTTGTCCGCAGCCATTCATAGCTGGTGACCCAGAAGATGAGGACTGATGGGAGGATCCTTCAGTTATAGTAGTGGCAGCTGCCACCAGTGTGGGGCCCTGTGGTGGTATAGCCGGTCCCTGGGGGGGCTGATGGGAAGGCCCTGCAGTTACGGGAGTGGGAACTGCCACCAATGTGGGGCCCTGTGGTGGTACAGCCGTACCGGGTCCCTGGGGGGGCTGATAGTAAGACCCTCTGATAAATGGAGTGGCAAATGTCTCCTTTATAAAGGACCTTTTTTGGTACAGCAGTGCTTGGCCCCTGGGGGGGGCTGATTAGAAGACCCTCCATTTATGGTAGTGCCACCAGTGTGGGGCCCTGTGGTGGTATAGCCGGTCCCTGGAGGGGCTGATGGGAAGGCCCTGCAGTTACGGGAGTGGCAGCCATCACCAGTAGGGGTCCCTGTGGGGGCAGAGCCGTACCGGGCCCCTGGAGGGGTCTTCAGGCTTTGCGTTGTGCGGTCGTCTGGCAATAACAAACTTTCTATTTTTTGCAGATGTTTCTGTAGCTGACAATCAAAAACTGATGAGAATTAAAAAAAAAAAGAAAAAAAAAGGATAAATTATAATTATTATTATACAGTATTTATAAAGCGCCGATAGTTGGCTCAGCGCTGTACATTACAGAGGGGGACAGAACATGTGACAGAACAATACCAATACAATGTGATACACGAGGGGATCGAGGGCCCTGATCCTGGGAGCTTACAATCTAGGAGGGGGGATGGAGGCAGACATGGCGGGGGGACACATTCCATATATATCACATTGGAACCCCAACAAATCTATCTTCCTGAGGCCTGACAATGGCGGCTCGTGACTCCCAGCTCCTGAGTGTGCAAAACAGTGGAAGATACCAGAACCCTATGATTGTTTATACAGCCCCCCCCCCCCGTGTCCCCTGATGGATCACAAGCATTGACAAGTGATGAGGCCGCACAGCTACCTGCAGTCTGATTCCAGTAGAGACTGAATGGAATCTTCCACGACCCCAGAGAAGGACAGACCTCCCCCCAGTGGGCGGGGCCAATGGCTGCGCAGAGGAGTCTCAGCAGCCAATGTGGATCTAAAGCTCAGCACACACATTACAATCCGATTGTACGACAGGCGTCACCTCACACCCCAGCAGAGGGATCCTTTAAAAAAAAAAAAAAGTTACTTTCAGCTGTGACCTTTAAATAAGTGACATGACTGAGAAGAGACCGCCTTCTCCATGGACTCCGCCCACAGTCCTATAGATCCCCCCCCAATCTATAATAAAAGGAAATAAATGTCCCCCCCCCGCAGCTGCTCAATAGTTAATAGATGACACTCCTGAGATCACTGCTAAGTGCAAAGTCCATTCATCTCCCGACCTCCTCGGTCCCGGCTCTGCGGTGTATGGACTGATTGTATAGGGGAACCTCCCACACTCCTCAGGGGAACCTCCCACACTCCTCAGGGGAACCTCGCACAGTCCTCAGGGGAACCTCGCACTCCTCAGGGGAACCTTTCACACTCCTCAGGGGAACCTCGCACAGTCCTCAGGGGAACCTCGCAGTCCTCAGGGGAACCTCGCACAGTCCTCAGGGGAACCTCGCACAGTCCTCAGGGGAACCTCGCACAGTCCTCAGGGGAACCTCGCACAGTCCTCAGGGGAACCTCGCACAGTCCTCAGGGGAACCTCGCACAGTCCTCAGGGGAACCTCGCACAGTCCCCAGGGGAACCTCCCACACTCCTCAGGGGAACCTCGCACAGTCCCCAGGGGAACCTCCCACACTCCTCAGGGGAACCTCCCACACTCCTCAGGGGAACCTCGCACAGTCCTCAGGGGAACCTCGCACACTCCTCAGGGGAACCTCGCACACTCCTCAGGGGAACCTCGCACACTCCTCAGGGGAACCTCGCACACTCCTCAGGGGAACCTCGCACAGTCCCCAGGGGAACCTCGCACAGTCCTCAGGGGAACCTCGCACAGTCCTCAGGGGAACCTCGCACAGTCCTCAGGGGAACCTCGCACAGGTTATTAATAAAAACCAAAACACACCAGAAGGTTTCCAATCACTTGCAGCTTTATTGATCCGAGCGCCCGGCGGTGTCCTGGTCTATATACAGAGAGCGGCGAGATCAATACATGGACTACAGGACACAGATCATCCGTCACTGCGATTCCTCTGTACAGCCAATCACGATGCAGGAGATGTGGTGAATGCGGTCCAGGGGGGCAGAGCACACTGATGGAAGGAGATGTGGTGAATGCGGTCCTGGGGGGCAGAGCACGCTGATGGAAGGAGATGTGGTGAATGCGGTCCTGGGGGGCAGAGCACACTGATGGAAGGAGATGTGGTGAATGCGGTCCTGGGGGGCAGAGCACGCTGATGGAAGGAGATGTGGTGAATGCGGTCCTGGGGGGCAGAGCACACTGATGGAAGGAGATGTGGTGAATGCGGTCCCGGGGGGCAGAGCACGCTGATGGAAGGAGATGTGGTGAATGCGGTCCTGGGGGGCAGAGCACGCTGATGGAAGGAGATGTGGTCATCTGGTTCTCTTCATTGCCTGTAATAAGAACAGAGAGAGATGTGTGAGCTCCACCGTATACACCCGGGGGCCGCATATAGCTAAGGACCGCACACACACATGGGGACCGCATACACCCGGGGGACTGCACACACATGGGGACTGCACACACATGGGGACCGCATACACCTAAGGATGCAGACCCCGCCGCTTTCCTCATCAGAGCCCAGCGAGTGATTACAATGAACCGGATCCTCCCATTCAGAATCCATCTTCACAGGACACAGGAAACAAGAGGAAGGGATCTGTTGGGGGCGGGGTCTACTAAAGGAAAATAGACTGAGCATGTCACAGGGGAGTGTCCTCCAATGATGACTTCCATCATCCAATCAGGTGCAACCAAAAACACTTTTTACTTTCCTTACATGTGATTGGCTGCTGATTACGAAGTAAAGCTTCATCTTATCAAACTGCATGTGAAGAGTGACCAGCCTATTGGCCGTCAGTAAATCCCCTCCCCCCCCCCATATACAGGCAATGCGGCGCTGACAGCGGGGGAGCAACAATTAGTAAAGGAAATAGTTGTGGTCACCATCCCCCATTCTGTATACAGACTGATTTCCCCCCCAATCCCCCGACACCCCCAACCAATCCAACACCCCCACCCACCCACTCCAGAACTCAACTCACAGCTTTTCTGATGCATCGCTTTAACTCTTCAAACTCCTTTCCACAAACTCCTCTCCGCAGCTCCGCCTTCCCCGTGACTCCGCCCAACACGCACTTCCCATAAGACATTGCCTGGAGAGGAAAAAAATTATGTGACCAGAGATCACTGGGGGAGGGGAGACCGAGAACATGACTCCTCCTTCTACAAAGTTACAATGTACAGTCTGATCACTGGGGGAGGAGACTGAGGAAATGCCGCCTCCTCCTCCTTCTACAAAGTTACAATGTACAGTCTGATCACTGGGGGAGGGGAGACTGATTTTGCTCCCAGAATACACAGGATGGGAGTTCCGCCTTCACTGGCTGCATGCTTGCAGTAGGTCAGGGTCCCCCAGATGACACACCTCTTTATATTCTGAGTCCCCCCCCCATTGGCCGCTCACCTGAGCCCCACATTCCGCCATCAGCCCGGACAGACCCCCAACCCTCCCCGGCGTCCCCACCTTCCCGGACATCACACTTCCGTGGGCGCCGCCATGTTGCCAATCAATGCGTAGACTTTGCCAACCAGCTCCTGATTGGTCGGCAGCTCAATTCTACGCCCACCAGGGAGGAGACACCAGACAGCAGAATGCAAGTCCTCCATTGGTTGAGGGAGGAGACACTAGTGCTCTCATTGGCTGAGGGTAGAGATGAGATCGCGGTGATTGGCTGGAGGGTAAGGAAGTTATTTGAGAGCGTAGGCCTGGGAGGAGTCTGTGCGGTGATTGGTTGGCCGGGGGGAACCTGTTCTGTGATTGGTTATCGGAGGCTACCCAGTCAGAGAGGCCACAGAATCTGTCAGGGTGGAGGATGGCGGTGTTGGATCGGCTGGCATTCCTTCACCAGGTACCGGGGCGGGAGGGTGATATGTACCGGGGGCCCTGCCAGTGTGGGGGGCTACAGACATGGGGAGGGATCAGTGGGGCCCTCCATCGCTCAGGGCCCCTCCCCAGCGTGCTGGAGCCCAACTCCGACCCCCAATGTCTGATTTCCTTTTACTTGTGGAGGAGTTCATATATTTCTGTCCCTAGTGTGACCCCAATGGGGGGACTTCCCCTCACTTCCTGTCCTGGTGACACCTGAAGGGAGCTGTTGTCATTGTGATAGAAGCCCCTCCCCCTGTATATGATGAATGCAGAAGAGCCGGAATTTCCTCATTTCTTCCTGATGACTCGTATTCCGGATCAGGAATTAATTTGGCCGGAATCAAGCAGATCACATATCCGGAGATCCATCTCCATCCTCCCTTCGTCCCACCCAATGGTGTCCTCCCCTATGTCGCACCCAATGGTATCCTCCCCATCCAATGGTATCCTCCCCTACGTCCCATCCAATGGTATCCTCCCCTACGTCCCACCCAATGGTATCCTCCCTTCGTCCCATCCAATGGTATCCTCCCCTATGTCCCATCCAATGGTATCCTCCCCTATGTCCCATCCAATGGTATCCTCCCCTTCGTCCCGTCCAATGGTATCCTCCCCTACGTCCCATCCAATGGTATCCTCCCCTACGTCCCATCCAATGGTATCCTCCCCTACGTCCCACCCAATGGTATCCTCCCCTACGTCCCACCCAATGGTATCCTCCCCTATGTCCCACCCAATGGTATCCTCCCCTATGTCCCACCCAATGGTATCCTCCCCTATGTCCCACCCAATGGTATCCTCCCCTTCGTCCCACCCAATGGTATCCTCCCCTTCGTCCCACCCAATGGTATCCTCCCCTTCGTCCCACCCAATGGTATCCTCCCCTTCGTCCCACCCAATGGTATCCTCCCCTGCGTCCCACCCAATGGTATCCTCCCCTGCGTCCCACCCAATGGTATCCTCCCCTTCGTCCCATCCAATGGTATCCTCCCCTTCGTCCCATCCAATGGTATCCTCCCCTTCGTCCCATCCAATGGTATCCTCCCTTCGTCCCACCCAATGGTATCCTCCCCTGCGTCCCACCCAATGGTAATCCTCCCCTGCGTCCCACCCATAGGTATCCTCCCCTGCGTCCCACCCAATGGTAATCCTCCCCTGCGTCCCATCCAATGGTATCCTCCCCTACGTCCCATCCAATGGTATCCTCCCCTACGTCCCATCCAATGGTATCCTCCCCTACGTCCCATCCAATGGTATCCTCCCCTACGTCCCATCCAATGGTATCCTCCCCTACGTCCCATCCAATGGTATCCTCCCCTACGTCCCATCCAATGGTATCCTCCCCTACGTCCCATCCAATGGTATCCTCCCCTACGTCCCATCCAATGGTATCCTCCCCTACGTCCCATCCAATGGTATCCTCCCTTCGTCCCACCCAATGGTATCCTCCCCTATGTCCCACCCAATGGTATCCTCCCCTATGTCCCACCCAATGGTATCCTCCCCTATGTCCCACCCAATGGTATCCTCCCCTATGTCCCACCCAATGGTATCCTCCCCTTCGTCCCACCCAATGGTATCCTCCCCTTCGTCCCATCCAATGGTATCCTCCCCTTCGTCCCACCCAATGGTATCCTCCCCTTCGTCCCACCCAATGGTAATCCTCCCCTGCGTCCCACCCAATGGTAATCCTCCCCTGCGTCCCACCCAATGGTAATCCTCCCCTGCGTCCCACCCAATGGTAATCCTCCCCTGCGTCCCACCCAATGGTAATCCTCCCCTGCGTCCCACCCAATGGTAATCCTCCCCTGCGTCCCACCCAATGGTATCCTCCCCTGCGTCCCACCCAATGGTATCCTCCCCATCCAATGGTATCCTCCCCTACGTCCCATCCAATGGTATCCTCCCCCTACGTCCCACCCAATGGTATCCTCCCCTACGTCCCACCCAATGGTATCCTCCCTTCGTCCCACCCAATGGTATCCTCCCTTCGTCCCATCCAATGGTATCCTCCCCTGCGTCCCACCCAATGGTAATCCTCCCCTGCGTCCCACCCAATGGTAATCCTCCCCTGCGTCCCACCCAATGGTATCCTCCCCTGCGTCCCACCCAATGGTATCCTCCCCTGCGTCCCACCCAGTGGTATCCTCCCCTTCGTCCCACCCAATGGTATCCTCCCCTTCGTCCCACCCAATGGTATCCTCCCCTTCGTCCCATCCAATGGTATCCTCCCCTTCGTCCCACCCAATGGTATCCTCCCCTATGTCCCACCCAATGGTATCCTCCCCTATGTCCCACCCAATGGTATCCTCCCCTATGTCCCACCCAATGGTATCCTCCCCTATGTCCCACCCAATGGTATCCTCCCCTATGTCCCACCCAATGGTATCCTCCCCTTCGTCCCACCCAATGGTATCCTCCCCTTCGTCCCATCCAATGGTATCCTCCCCTTCGTCCCATCCAATGGTATCCTCCCCTTCGTCCCACCTAATGGTATCCTCCCCTGCGTCCCACCCAATGGTAATCCTCCCCTGCGTCCCACCCATAGGTATCTTCCCCTGCGTCCCACCCAATGGTAATCCTCCCCTGCGTCCCACCCAATGGTATCCTCCCCTGCGTCCCACCCAATGGTAATCCTCCCCTGCGTCCCCCACCCAATGGTAATCCTCCCCTGCGTCCCACCCAATGGTATCCTCCCCTGCGTCCCACCCAATGGTAATCCTCCTCCCCTGCGTCCCACCCAATGGTAATCCTCCCCTACGTCCCACCCAATGGTATCCTCCCCTATGTCCCACCCAATGGTATCCTCCCCTATGTCCCACCCAATGGTATCCTCCCCTATGTCCCACCCAATGGTATCCTCCCCTTCGTCCCACCCAATGGTATCCTCCCCTTCGTCCCACCCAATGGTATCCTCCCCTTCGTCCCACCCAATGGTATCCTCCCCTTCGTCCCACCCAATGGTAATCCTCCCCTGCGTCCCACCCAATGGTAATCCTCCCCTGCGTCCCACCCAATGGTAATCCTCCCCTGCGTCCCACCCAATGGTATCCTCCCCTGCGTCCCACCCAATGGTAATCCTCCCCTGCGTCCCACCCAATGGTATCCTCCCCTGCGTCCCACCCAATGGTATCCTCCCCTGCGTCCCACCCAATGGTAATCCTCCCCTGCGTCCCACCCAATCACACATCCTCTGATTACATCACTTAACCCCTTCCTGCCCCTGCATGGGGGGCCCATTAACAGAGTTGTAAAGGAGAAGTAAAGGCAAAGCATAATTTTGTATGGAGTAATGGAGGGTTCTACCACCTTTCAGGTGTTCCCATTGGGGAGATTTCCCATCACTGGGGGGACAAAGAAGGGGGGAATCTCCCTCCCGTGGGGGATCTGACGACTCTGGCATTGGGGGGGGAATCTCCCCGAGGGGGATCTGATGACTCTCTGGAATGGGGGGGGAATCTCCCCGATGGGGATTTCCATCATATGATTCTAATAATCTTCTGTCTTCCCAGCTTCCTGTGCTGCTGAAAGGGGACCTCCGACGACGACACACCCCCTGCCCGGGGTACTTATATGAAGAGATTGCCCGTATCCTTTGTGAATTGGTCATTGCAGTGTGTGGGGGGGATCTGACGCTGGATCAGCGGGACCTGAAGATTGGGTCCAGGAGGTGACATCATACATGACCATGACTGCTCCGGTCCAGGAGGTGACGTCATACATGACCGTGACTGCTCCGGTCCAGGAGGTGACGTCATACATGACCGTGACTGCTCCGGTCCAGGAGGTGACGTCATACATGACCATGACTGCTCCGGTCCAGGAAGTGACGTCATACATGACCATGACTGCTCCGGTCCAGGAAGTGACGACATACATGACCATGACTGCTCCGGTCCAGGAAGTGACATCACACATGACAATCAGCGCTCTGGTCCATTTACAGAAGGGAGGCTGAGCTCCCGCCGCTCTTCCCAGCGACACCCACCATGAGGGCGGAGCCTGGTAAAACATGGCGGGGGCAGCACATCGCAGTGGAAGTGATAGGCGGCTTCACAGCCACTTGTATCACCTCCACATGAATGCCAACAGTCAGCTCTACTAAGGGACACACGCAGTCCTGGCTGGTATAGCCGCATGGAGTGTGTACAGTGTGTCTGCAGCCTGTTCAAAATCTGAATCCCCAGCAAGTGGCTGGGGATTCGGATGTTACCGCCCCCCATCCTGGCACCTTAAGGCAGCTGCCAATGCTGCCTCGTGGTGGCGCCAGCCCTGGGGAGGGGCAATAAGAAATATTAAAGCTTTGGGTGGAATTCCAAATAAATGTAGAACCGCCACTTTGTATTTGGAGTCAGTTGACCCTGACATTTGGGGGGGATTTGTACCGTCCTGACATTTGGGGGGGATTTGTACCGTCCTGACATTTGGGGGGATTTGTACCGTCCTGACATTTTGGGGGGGATTTGTACCGTCCTGACATTCGGGGGGATTTTTACCGTCCTGACGTTTTGGGGGGATTTGTAACGTCCTGAACGTTTGGGGGGATTTGTACCGTCCTGACGTTTGGGGGGATTTGTACCGTCCTGACATTTGGGGGGATTTGTACCGTCCTGACGTTTGGGGGGGATTTGTACCGTCCTGACGTTTGGGGGGGATTTGTACCGTCCTGACGTTTGGGGGGGATTTGTACCGTCCTGACGTTTGGGGGGGATTTGTACCGTCCTGACGTTTGGGGGGGATTTGTACCGTCCTGACGTTTGGGGGGGATTTGTACCGTCCTGACGTTTGGGGGGATTTGTACCGTCCTGACGTTTGGGGGGATTTGTACCGTCCTGACGTTTGGGGGGGATTTGTACCGTCCTGACATTTGGGGGGATTTGTGCCGTCCTAAAATTTGGGGGGATTTGTACCGTCCTGACGTTTGGGGGGGATTTGTACCGTCCTGACGTTTGGGGGGGATTTGTACCGTCCTGACGTTTGGGGGGGATTTGTACCGTCCTGACGTTTGGGGGGGATTTGTACCATCCTGACGTTTGGGGGGGGATTTGTACCGTCCTGACGTTTGGCGGTGGTTTGTACCGTCCTGACATTTGGGGGGATTTGTACCGTCCTGACATTTGGGGGGATTTGTACCGTCCTGACATTTGGGGGGATTTGTACCGTCCTGACATTTGGGGGGATTTTTACCGTCCTGACGTTTGGGGGGGATTTGTAACGTCCTGACGTTTGGGGGGATTTGTACCGTCCTGACGTTTGGGGGGATTTGTACCGTCCTGACGTTTGGGGGGATTTGTACCGTCCTGATGTTTGGGGGGGATTTGTACCGTCCTGACGTTTTGGGGGGGATTTGTACCGTCCTGACGTTTGGGGGGGATTTGTACCGTCCTGACATTTGGGGGGATTTGTGCCGTCCTAAAATTTGGGGGGATTTGTACCGTCCTGACATTTGGGGGGATTTGTGCCGTCCTGACATTTGGGGGGATTTGTACCGTCCTGACGTTTTGGGGGGATTTGTACCGTCCTGACGTTTGGGGGGATTTGTACCGTCCTGACGTTTGGGGGGGATTTGTACCGTCCTGACGTTTGGGGGGGATTTGTACCGTCCTGACGTTTGGGGGCATTTGTACCGTCCTGATGTTTGGGGGTACTTGTACCGTCCTGACATCTTGGGGGGATTTGTACCGTCCTGACGTTTGGGGGGGGGGGATTTGTACCGTCCTGATGTTTGGGGGGGATTTGTACCGTCCTGACGTTTGGGGGGGATTTGTACCGTCCTGACGTTTGGGGGGGATTTGTACCGTCCTGACGTTTGGGGGGATTTGTACCGTCCTGACGTTTGGGGGGGATTTGTACCGTCCTGACTTTTGGGGGGATTTGTACCGTCCTGACGTTTGGGGGGATTTGTACCGTCCTGACATTTGGGGGGGGGGGGATTTGTACCGTCCTGACATTTGGGGGGGGGGGGATTTGTACCGTCCTGACGTTTGGGGGGATTTGTACCGTCCTGACATTTGGGGGGGGGGGGTATTTGTACCGTCCTGACGTTTGGGGGGATTTGTACCGTCCTGACATCTGGGGGGGATTTGTACCGTCCTGACGTTAGGGGGGATTTATATGCTGGACACGGGTCAGGTTTGATCTCCAGCTCCAAGAAGCCGTTCTCTGTCATATGGGGTATCTCTGGGGCCACAAAGGACGAGGGTCCCACACATGTACAACCAGTCCGCTATGTGATGGCTACTAATCTTGATAAACAATCACGAGGGGGGAAGGCGACGCGTTTCAGGGGCCCTCATCTCCCCTTCATCAGGGCTTGAATGGTGATGGCAGGAAACCCCGGACTATAGAAGATTCGTGGACTGGGGTGGTGGCGGTGCAGGTCCTAGTCTGACAGGCGGCTTCCTTCACTGACTCCACACGGGGCAATGATCCAATGACATAGAATGGGGCAGGTGACTGATAATCCTTTCTGTGAATCAGAATCCTCATTTCTCATCAAAAAGATTCCCAGACGGTAAAATTGTCCCACAGAGGAGGAACGTCGTTGTATCTGAATGGAATCGATTGTTTTTTGGATCCCTAACCCGACCCCCAGGGATATCCCAGGAGTCCGCCGGCAGTGGGCAGTGCCTCCTAGAATACCTCCTGAACCGCCTACAGAACAGCTCCTGCCGCGTGAAGTTAAAGGTGGGTTCCTGGAATCTCGGGGGGGGGGGGGGGGGGAGGGGACTGGGTGCTGCTGAGACTCTTCCTGAATTCTGTCTGCTCTCCAGGTGCTGAAGATTCTCCTGTATCTGTGCGCTCACAGCACCGACCTCTTCCTCCACGATCTCCGCCGCAATGTGGTCTACATTCAGGAGGCTGCAGGTACGGCCAGGTCCACGACATTCGTCCTCACATTCACATCGAGTAATCAGACGCCGAAGATGTACAAAGAGCAGCCTGTGAGCAGTCCCTTGGCTCTATCGACCCCCGAAGACTATGGCTGCAGGGTACGGGGGTGGGGGGGGGGGGGGGACAGAGGACATCACTTTGGATGTAAGCACCATCCTGTGTCCTGACTTTACCTGAACCATCAGATCCCATCATCAGACGTCCACAAACTTCAGGCCAACAATTCTATGGGGGGGGGGGGGGGGATGTACTAATTATTATTATTATTATTATTATACAGGATTTATGGCGCCAACAGTGTGCTCAGCGCTGTACAATATAACGGGAGACAATACAGCACCAATACAGTTCAATACAAGAGGGATAGGAGGGGCTGATCCTGGGAGCTTACAATCTAAGAGGGAGGGGCTGATCAATACAGATCAATACAAGAGGGAGGGGCTGATCCTGGGAGCTTACAATCTTAAGAGGGAGGGCCCTGATCCTGGGAGCTTACACTCTAAGAGGGAGGGGGCTGATCCTGAGAGCTTACAATCTAAGAGGGAGGGGCTGATCCTGGGAGCTTACAATCTAAGAGGGAGGGGCTGATCCTGGGAGCTTACAATCTAAGAGGGAGGGGCTGATCCTGGGAGCTTACAATCTAAGAGGGAGGGGCCTGATCCTGGGAGCTTACAATCTAAGAGGGAGGGGCTGATCCTGGGAGCTTACAATCTAAGAGGGAGGGGCCTGATCCTGGGAGCTTACAATCTAAGAGGGAGGGGCTGATCCTGGGAGCTTACAATCTAAGAGGGAGGGGCTGATCCTGGGAGCTTACAATCTAAGAGGGAGGGCCTGATCCTGGGAGCTTACAATCTAGGAGGGAGGGCCTGATCCTGGGAGCTTACAATCTAAGAGGGAGGGGCTGATCCTGGGAGCTGACAATCTAAGAGGGAGGGCCTGATCCTGGGAGCATACAATCTAAGAGGGAGGGCCTGATCCTGGGAGCATACAATCTAAGAGGGAGGGGCTGATCCTGAGAGTTTACAATCTAAGAGGGAGGGGCTGATCCTTAGAGCTTACAATCTAAGAGGGAGGGGCTGATCCTGAGAGTTTACAATCTAAGAGGGAGGGGCTGGTCCTGGGAGCTTACAATCTAAGAGGGAGGGCCTGGTCCTGGGGAGCTTACAATCTAAGAGGGAGGGGCTGATCCTGGAAGCTTACAATCTAAGAGGGAGGGGCTGATCCTGGGAGCTTACAATCTAAGAGGGAGGCCCTGATCCTGGGAGTTTACAATCTAAGAGGGAGGGCCTGATCCTGGGAGCTTACAATCTAAGAGGGAGGGGCTGATCCTGGGAGCTGACAATCTAAGAGGGAGGCCCTGATCCTGGGAGTTTACAATCTAAGAGGGAGGGCCTGATCCTGGGAGCTTACAATCTAAGAGGGAGGGCCTGATCCTGGGAGCTTACAATCTAAGAGAGAGGGCCTGATCCTGGGAGCTTACAATCTAAGAGGGAGGGGCTGATCCTGGGAGTTTACAATCTAAAGGGAGGGGCTGATCCTGGGAGCTTACAATCTAGGAGGGAGGGTCTGATCCTGGGAGTTTACAATCTAGGAGGGAGGGGCTGATCGTGGGAGCTTACAATCTAAGAGGGAGGGGCTGATCCTGGGAGTTTACAATCTAAGAGGGAGGGGCTGATCCTGGGAGCTTACAATCTAAGAGGGAGGGGCTGGTGGTACAAAAGGTAGTAACTGTGGGGGATGGATTTGTAGGAAGAGTAGAAGATTCCATCATTAGCTGAGGGCAGGATAGGCTTCCCTGAAGAGATCGGTTTTCAGAGATCGCCTAAAAGTGAGCAGAGTAGGCGATAGTCTGATAGATTGGGGTAGAGAGTTCCAGAGGATGGGGGAAGCTCTGGAAAAGTCCTGGAGACGAGCATGGGAGGAGGAGACAAGGGAGCTAGAGAGCAGGAGGTCGTGCGAGGAGCGGGGGAGGACGGTTTGGGTGATATTTAGAGACAAGATCCTAATACTGGAGCACTCCGAATCTGGTGCCGCTCTGCATGGCGGCCAATCAGCTTCTACCTTCAGCTTGTTCCATGAAGCTTTGCCAATAAAACCTGGAAGCTGATTGGCTGCTATATAGAGCTGCCCCAGATTCTGTGTGCTCCCGTTGTAGTAAATCCCCCCTAGACTTTAAAAGATAAGTTCACCTTTTGTAACATGTTACAAACCGACCGCTCCCCACCCCCGCTCCCCACCCCTTGCTCCCCACCCCTTGCTCCCCACCCCTTGCTCCCCACCCCCTGCTCCCCACACCCCGCTCCCCAGCCCTTGCTCCCCACCCCTTGCTCCCCACCCCCTGCTCCCCACCCCCTGCTCCCCACCCCCTGCTCCCCACCCCTGGCTCCCCACCCCCGGCTCCCCACTCCCCACCCCCTGCTCCCCAGCCCCGCTCCCCCACCCGCACCCCCCTGAGGGGTGGCCACCTCATCCCTTTAAAACTGAACACATATTAATGACACGGGTTCTGTGGCTGATGAAGGTGGTCATTAAACTCACTAAGGCCGGCCATATATGGGTCCATTCTCTAACGATTTTTCATTCGAAAATTGGACATAAGAATAATCGGCCGATTTTCGCTCTCTTGGTGGTGCAATGGCACCGGCCGATTTTTGTGGTTCCTCCCCATTTTGTTTATCAGCATGCTGGAACATTTGTGAAAATTGACTGATTTTCAAAATCATTTGTGGTACCATTGGATTACAGAACGAACAATGTTTTTGATCTAAAAATCGTTTGGAATTTGACCCGTGTATGGCCGGCTTTAGTGCCGTCTCTGCATTACATTAGCCTCAGGACCCGTGTAATTATTATGTATTCGGTTTTAAAGGGATGAGGTGACAACCCTACCCTGGTAAAGAGGTAATATGGGAGGGGGAGGTGTCATTGACAAGTCACGTGTGGCCGGTCCTCCTCCGTGGCATGTTACCTCTCTGTACTAGGACACCATGCAGCTTCTGACTCCCTCTGTTGTTATACAGGATTTATGGCACCAACAGTTTGTGTAGCGCTGTACAATATAAGGGGGGCGGTACAATTACAATACATTTCAGTACAGAAGGAATGTGAGGGCGCGGCTCGTGGTCATGTGGTACAAAGCCTAGGCATGGGGTCATGTGGTACAAAGCCTAGGCATGGGGTCATGTGGTACAAAGCCTAGGCATGGGGTCATGTGGTACAAAGCCTAGGCATGGGGTCATGTGGTACAAAGCCTAGGCATGGGGTCATGTGGTACAAAGCCTAGGCATGGGGTCATGTGGTACAAAGCCTAGGCATGGGGTCATGTGGTACAAAGCCTAGGCATGGGGTCATGTGGTACAAAGCCTAGGCATGGGGTCATGTGGTACAAAGCCTAGGCATGGGGTCATGTGGTACAAAGCCTAGGCTCGTGGTCATGTGGTACAAAGCCTAGGCATGGGGTCATGTGGTACAAAGCCTAGGCATGGGGTCATGTGGTACAAAGCCTAGGCTCGGGGTCATGTGGTACAAAGCCTAGGCTCGGGGTCATGTGGTACAAAGCCTAGGCATGGGGTCATGTGGTACAAAGCCTAGGCATGGGGTCATGTGGTACAAAGCCTAGGCATGGGGTCATGTGGTACAAAGCCTAGGCATGGGGTCATGTGGTACAAAGCCTAGGCATGGGGTCATGTGGTACAAAGCCTAGGCATGGGGTCATGTGGTACAAAGCCTAGGCTCGGGGTCATGTGGTACAAAGCCTAGGCATGGGGTCATGTGGTACAAAGCCTAGGCATGGGGTCATGTGGTACAAAGCCTAGGCATGGGGTCATGTGGTACAAAGCCTAGGCATGGGGTCATGTGGTACAAAGCCTAGGCATGGGGTCATGTGATACCTGTGGGAGGCTGCGATATATTCTACATTATGATATGTTCTCAATGTTCCTCCTTACCATTGCAGCCGTCAGCGGGCCTCCGGATCCTCTTCACGGTATCAGCCTGTACCAGAAGGTTCGATCTGCAGCCCAGGTAAGTCGTTGTCATGGGTGCCTTGGTGTGCGGAGAATGTACTGAGGTGCAGCGAAAATGACCCTTCGGTGAGCGGCCCGCTTGGAGGAACAGGCCGATGTGTATGAATAAATTCCCGACCAATCAGTGTACAGCAATGGAATTATTTGTTAAAAAGCCGTTCTTAAAGTGGACCTCTACCTCCCCATCTGTGGCTGTCTGTGCTCCCCCTCTACAATATAAAGCCCCTTTTTTTGCACCGTTTTGGCCTGGCCCTGCCCCCACCTTGCCATTCTCACCCAGACAAGAATGCCGTGTCTGTGCTTCCTCATTCTCCTGGGATTCAGTGTCACATATCCCGGGAGGACCCGGCGGGCTCACGTCATTGGAGGCCGGCTGACAACCCAGGAGAAGAGGAGGAGGACCAAGATGGCGGCACGGGATCCAGGCTACTGGACCTGATGAGCAGATTATGGCAGGACAATGCTGGATCCACTGGGCACGTGAGTACAGGCGCACCTCGGTTTACAAATTGAATTCCTTCTGCAGAACTTTTCGTATTGTGAAAAATTTGTAAAGCGAAACGCGGTTTCCCATAGGAATGCACTGAAAACCAATTAATCCGTTCCGGAGGTCAGAAAAAAGTTAAAAAAATATGTATTTTATCTGTTCAAAACTCTTTATAAAGTGCACTTTAAAGGCATAAATACTGTCCAGGGACGTGATTAGCAAACAATTCGTAAATGCATCGAAAACCAATTCATCCGTTCATATTGCAAAAAAAATTCGTAAACCGAGGCGTTACTTTCAATGGATTTTCATTTGTAAACCGAAAATTACGTAAACCGAGGCGTTCGTAAACCGAGGTGCGCCTGTATCGGATTTTAGGACAATGCTGAATAACCGGTAAAGAGGGCATTAAAGAGAATAACGGGAGAACTGGAGTCCTGCTTTCAAAAACCGCGAGCGGGCAGGCAGTCTGTTGCAGCAGAGACATTATTATTATTATTATTATTATTATTATTATTATTATACAGGATTTATATTATTATTATTATTATTATTATTATACAGGATTTATGGCGCCAACAGTTTGCTCAGCGCTACAATATAACGGGAGACAATACAGATCAATACAAGAGGGATAGGAGGGCCTGATCCTGGGAGCTTACAATCTAAGAGGGAGGGGCTGATCCTGGGAGCTTACAATCTAAGAGGGAGGGGCTGATCCTGGGAGCTTACAATCTAAGAGGGAGGGGCTGATCCTGGGAGCTTACAATCTAGGAGGGAGGGCCTGATCCTGGGAGCTGACAATCTAAGAGGGAGGGGCTGATCCTGGGAGCTGACAATCTAAGAGGGAGGGGCTGATCCTGGGAGCTGACAATCTAAGAGGGAGGGGCTGATCCTGGGAGCTTACAATCTAAGAGGGAGGGCCTGATCCTAGGAGTTTACAATCTAAGAGGGAGGGGCTGATCCTGGGAGCTTACAATCTAGGAGGGAGGGGCTGATCCTGGGAGCTGACAATCTAAGAGGGAGGGCCTGATCCTGGGAGCTTACAATCTAAGAGGGAGGGGCTGATCCTGGGAGTTTACAATCTAGGAGGGAGGGGCTGATCCTGGGAGCTTACAATCTAGGAGGGAGGGGCTGATCCTGGGAGCTTACAATCTAAGAGGGAGGGGCTGATCCTGGGAGCTTACAATCTAGGAGGGAGGGGCTGATCCTGGGAGCTTACAATCTAAGAGGGAGGGGCTGATCCTGGGAGCTTACAATCTAGGAGGGAGGGGCTGATCCTGGGAGCTTACAATCTAGGAGGGAGGGGCTGGTGGTACAAAAGGTAGTAACTGTGGGGAGGGGCTGGTAGGAGGAGTAGAAGATTCCATTATTAGCTGAGGGCAGGATAGGCTTCCCTGAAGAGAGAGGTTTTCGGAGATCGCCTGAAAGTGAACAGAGTAGGCGATAGTCTGATAGATTGAGGTAGAGAGTTCCAGAGGATGGGGGAAGCTCTGGAGAAGTCCTGGAGATGAGCATGGGAGGAGGAGACAAGGGAGCTAGAGAGCAGGAGGTCGTGCGAGGAGCGGAGAGGACGGTTTGGGAGACATGCAGACCTACCTGCCTGCTAACAGTCCACTTTGGGAGATGCACAAGCTCAGCTCAGTTTCCATTCTGGCACAACGCCTGTGTGCCGGGTGACTGTACTCCTGCGCATGTACAGGAGCGATGTGATCCTGCGCCAGTCGATGAAGACGGCTGCAGCCCGTGATTGGTCACCACTTGTCACATGGTACAAGGCCGCTGTGAATGGCATCTTGTGTACTACTATTCCTGTGATCACTGATTAGCCAATCAGTGATCACATGATTAGGACCTCACACAGAGCTCCTGTACAGCGATCGGTGTTCCTCCGGACACACTCCAGGCACCGGATCCCAGGGAGTGCGCACAGGCAGTGAATGCGGAGGCCATTTATAAACGTCCACCCGCTCCTGCGGTGCCCCCGTCTGGCTGTTTATGTACATGGGCCGGACGGGAAGTGGCTACATAAACCTTGGATAATGCACTAGGTGTTGGCGCCATTTGTTCACTCTTTTCTAGTACAGCCGTGTATCCTCCCGGTGCAGCCGTGTATCCTCCCCGGCGCAGCCGTGTATCCTCCCCGGCGCAGCCGTGTATCCTCCCCGGCGCAGCCGTGTATCCTCCCCGGCGCAGCCGTGTATCCTCCCCGGCGCAGCCGTGTATCCTCCCCGGCGCAGCCGTGTATCCTCCCCGGCGCAGCCGTGTATTCTCCCCGGCGCAGCCGTGTATTCTCCCCGGCGCAGCCGTGTATTCTCCCCGGCGCAGCCGTGTATTCTCCCCGGCGCAGCCGTGTATCCTCCCCCGGCGCAGCCGTGTATCCTCCCCCGGTGCAGCCGTGTATCCTCCCCCGGTGCAGCCGTGTATCCTCCCCCGGTGCAGCCGTGTATCCTCCCCCGGTGCAGCCGTGTATCCTCCCCCGGTGCAGCCGTGTATCCTCCCCCGGTGCAGCCGTGTATCCTCCCCCGGTGCAGCCGTGTATCCTCCCCCGGTGCAGCCGTGTATCCTCCCCCGGTGCAGCCGTGTATCCTCCCCCGGTGCAGCCGTGTATCCTCCCCCGGTGCAGCCGTGTATCCTCCCCCGGTGCAGCCGTGTATCCTCCCCCGGTGCAGCCGTGTATCCTCCCCCGGTGCAGCCGTGTATCCTCCCCCGGTGCAGCCGTGTATCCTCCCCCGGTGCAGCCGTGTATCCTCCCCCGGTGCAGCCGTGTATCCTCCCCCGGTGCAGCCGTGTATCCTCCCCCGGTGCAGCCGTGTATCCTCCCCCGGTGCAGCCGTGTATCCTCCCCGGTGCAGCCGTGTATCCTCCCCGGTGCAGCCGTGTATCCTCCCCGTGCAGCCGTGTATCCTCCCCGTGCAGCCGTGTATCCTCCCCGTACAGCCGTGTATCCTCCCGGTACATGTTCATGTCACTTTGTACAGCTTTTGTGTTTTTTCCTCTCCAGGAACTTGTCAGCAGTTTGTTCACAGATGTGTCACCGCACAGCTCCAACGTGCCACCTGCGAAGGAGAAGCCCCCGACAGGTAACTGGGAGGAGCCCCATGTGACGCCAAAGAGGGTTCCTTCAGAGGTTGCTGGGGGTTCCGGGAGCAGTGGTGACTCGATCTCCTCTCTATACTGACCAACAGAGTTAGCAGGCTCCTTCCCTATTGACCACCAATGTTTTGTGGTCAGTGGAGAAAGGCCCCCCATGTCGGAGGGCCCTACTCCATTGACCACTAATGCTTGGGACTTGTCTCCACTGACCACCAATGTCAGAGGGCCCGTCTCCACTGACCACCAATGTCAGAGGGCCCTTCTCCACTGACCACCAATGTGGGAGGGCCCTTCTCCATTGACCACTAATGCTGGGGACTCTTCTCCACTGACCACCAATGTGGGAGGGCCCTTCTCCATTGACCACTAATGCTGGGGACTCTTCTCCACTGACCACCAATGTCAGAGGGCCCTTCTCCACTGACCACCAATGTCGGAGGGCCCTACTCCATTGACCACTAATGTTGGGGACTTGTCTCCACTGACCACCAATGTCAGAGGGCCCTTCTCCATTGACCACTATGCTGGGGACTCTTCTCCATTGACCACCAATGTTAGGGGGTCCTTCTCCATTGACCACTATGCTGGGGGACTCTTCTCCATTGACCACCAATGTTAGGGGGCCCTACTGTTACAACTGTGTTCACTTTCTGAAAAGTATTCTATTAAAGTGTTACTAACCCCCCGCAGTACAATCCGTCTGTAGAGGCAGCAAAGCATGCTGGTTATACTCCCTGTGGGACCTAAGGGGTTAATCCTCTGCGTTGTGTAGAAAGGCTGTTTGATCCTGTCTTCTCTAATCCTCCCCTTCTTCTGCTGTCCCCAATCCATCTGCTGATAGTACAAAGCCTTGGGGGCAAGCTGCACATGCTCAGTTTGGTGTGTATTGATAGATAATTTTTTTTTTCTTTCTTGGGAGAGTGCATGTGATCAGCACAGGGCCAATCAGCACAGAGGGTCGGGGGTAGAGAGGGAGAGATAGACAAAAATGATAATCTATATTTTATCCTGCAAGAGCTCTGTCGCTGTACTTTACACGCCGGTCCTGCCCACAGCGCCCCCTTCTGGAGGTTCCTCTGTACAATAGAGTTGGCCAACCAGAGGAAGGAAGCCGAGGTTCCTCCCTCCACCCTCATTAACATAAAACCTTTCCATTCTCATTACATTGTTATTTGTATATTATCATTTATTATTCTGTTATTACTGGGTCTCTTTGCTTCTTTATGCAATGCAGGCAGATCGTGGCTGGTGGGAGGGACCAGCAGGAGGTTGTACATAACGTCCTGAAAACATCACAGCACCCTTCCTCAGCACTCCTCTCAAGAGCCCTCAGTCCTGATGCAAGTAGTGGGAGGAGTTATGCAAATATCAAATGTCTTGGTGGGTGGGAGTCACTCTGGAGAAGAGGGCGTTCCTAGGCAGGCTGTATTTGCATGTAGACCACCCACATGTGATACCGAGCCTCCATGATTGAAAGGGGTGGGGCCAGGGACAATCAAACTGGGGAGGAAAGGGCAACATGATGCTGGACATCCTCCAACCAGGAAATGAGGCGGGCTCTAATGAATGAAATGGGTAGGGCCAGGGGACAGTCAGGCTGGGGAGGAAAGAGCTACATGATGCTGGATGTCTTCCAGCCAGGAAATGAGGCGGGCTTTAATGAATGAAATGGGTAGGGTCAGGGACAGTCAGGCTGGGGAGGAAAGGGCTACATGATGCTGGATGTCTTCCAGCCAGGAAATGAGGCAGGCTGTGTCTGACTACATATTTCACTGACCACATTCTCATTTTCAGGAATGGGTTCCCAGGTGTGTCATCCCCACACCATGCAAGGATTCGGATATTCTCAGGATAGACCCGGTTCAGGTAGGTCTTCCTCCTGCAGTGCTGAATGCGGTTGTTCCTCTCAGATGTTCACTGAAATCTGTATTCTATGTAATCTATTTATTGGCGCCCCCTATTGGCCCATAAGAGAGATGGATGGCTTCACTGACCAATGGTAAGGTGATGGAGGGACTGGCCAGATCACGACTTTCACTAGTCAGGTCAAGATCTGCATAACACCGCGCCAAGGTCCCAGGATGTGTTGTGTGTCTGTGTGCGTGTGTGTGTGCGGGTGCGCGTGTCTGTGTGTATGTGTGTGTCTGTGCGGGTGCGTGTGTGTCTGTGTGTATGTATGTGCGTGCGTGTGTGTCTGTGTGTATGTGTGTGCGCGTGTCTGTGTGTATGTGTGTGTCTGTGCGGGTGCGTGTGTGTCTGTGTGTATGTATGTGTGCGTGTGTGTGTGTGCGTGTGTGTCTGTGTGTCTGTGTGTCTGTGCGGGTGCGTGTGTGTGTGTGTTGTGTGTCTGTGCGTATGTGTGTGTGTGTGTCTATGTGTGTGTGCGTCTGTGCGGGTGCGTGTGTGTGGTGGGGGCACTGATAGACACGGCTGTCTATTCCCGTAACGCCTTCTCACCCTGTGTCTAGACGGAAGAAGGATGGCTGGGCGCAGCAGCGCGATGACGTCACACAACTGTGTAGTTCAGATGCACTTTGTCAATAAAGGAGAGGGGACGGGCACTAAAGGAGCAAATAGTCATACACCCCCCACCATGGCCATTAATATGGAGTTGGGCCCTCCCCCCCCACCATGGCCATTAATATGGAGTTGGGCCCTCCCCCCCCACCATGTCCATTAATATGGAGTTGGGCCCTCCCCCCCCACCATGTCCATTAATATGGAGTTGGGCCCTCCCCCCCCCACCATGTCCATTAATATGGAGTTTGCCCCCCCCCCCACCATGTCCATTAATATGGAGTTTGCCCCCCCCCCCCCCACTATGTCCATTAATATGGAGTTTGCCCCCCCCCCCCCCCACCATGTCCATTAATATGGAGTTTGCCCCCCCCCCACCATGTCCATTAATATGGAGTTTGCCCCCCCCCCACCATGGCCATTAATATGGAGTTGGGCCCCCCCCCCACCATGGCCATTAATATGGAGTTGGGCCCCCCCCCCAACCATGGCCATTAATATGGAGTTGGTCCCCCCCCACCATGGCCATTAATATGGAGTTGGGCCCTCCCCCCCCCCCACCATGGCCATTAATATGGAGTTGGCCCCCCCCCCCACCTTGGCCATTAATATGGAGTTGCCCCCCCCCCCACCTTGGCCATTAATATGGAGAGGACCTGGATCGCCATCGGGGTTCCAATCCATCCCAAAGGTGTTCAGTAGGTTGAGGTCAGAGCTCTGTACAGGACACTGGAGTTCCTCCACACCAAACTGGTCATCCATGTCTTTATGGAGCTGGCTTTGTACATGGGGGACAGTCATGGGGGGAACAGAAAAGGGTCTTCACCAAACTGGTCATCCATGTCTTTATGGAGCTGGCTTTGTACACGGTGGGGGGGGGGGGGACAGTCATGGGGGGACAGAAAAGGGTCTTCACCAAAGTGGAGACAATTGTGCTCTTCCAGCCTTGAGGTAACAATGTCATTATATGATGGAGGATTACCAGACCCGTCACTGGGGACCCCTGAGCTCCATCATTGGTAGGAGATTCACATACGTGTTGCTATGTTGTAATTCCATGTTCTTGTATGTTTAGGAACGGCCAGTGAAGCTCTGCTCAGCGGTATACAGAGGGCGGCCGTAGCGGTGACCCAGGCAGTGCTGATTGGGGCCGGTTCTCACTCTCCTTGCCCCGGTGACCCGGCTGATAACGCATACAAACCTGTAGCCGTGCCGTTAGGCGCTGGACAGCCTCCTGCCGAAAAACCTGCGTGTAAATCTGCACACGGCAACAGAGGTAAACGGTCATACAAGTGATGGGGATTTATTTCCAATTTCAGAGCTTCATGCCATGGCAGAGCAGAATGGGAATAAATCTGTATAATGTGAGACAACCAATCCATTCACTGGCCCAGAGCAGCCAATCAGACTATCGCCACATTCGCTGAACCCGCCCAGCGTAGCCAATGGGTGTGTTAGATTCTTCATATGATACATCTGTGTGATCCTGGAGCCAATCAGAGTGTCAGAAAAATGAGAATAAGAATACAGAGACTCCACAGAGCTGCAGCCGGAAGAAAGAATGACGTTTTTTTTATTTAGCGCACTTTGCCCCGTCTTGGGGTCAAAGGTCGGCCCGCAGTGCGGTGCGCAAAAAAAACCAAAATACCAAAATGAACCAACACAGTATATGTGAACACAAAAAGTGCACTCAGGGTGAGGTATATGGTCCCCTTTCATGGAGGATGGACCCTTCACTGACCCCCCCACACCCCCGGGCACTTAACGTGTGTCATATGGTCCCCTTTCATGGTGGATGGACCCTTCACTGACCCCCCCACACCCCCGGGCACTTAAGGTGTGTCATATGGTCCCCTTTCATGGAGGATGGACCCTTCACTGACCCCCCCACACCCCCAGGCACTTAAGGTGTGTCATATGGTCCCCTTTCATGGAGGATGGACCCTTCACTGACCCCCCCCACACCCCCGGGCACTTAAGGTGTGTCATATGGTCCCCTTTCATGGAGGATGGACCCTTCACTGACCCCCCCCACACCCCCGGGCACTTAACGTGTGTCATATGGTCCCCTTTCATGGAGGATGGACCCTTCACTGCCCCCCCCCACACCCCCGGGCACTTAACGTGTGTCATATGGTCCCCTTTCATGGAGGATGGACCCTTCACTGACCCCCCCACACCCCCGGGCACTTAAGGTGTGTCATATGGTCCCCTTTCATGGAGGATGGACCCTTCACTGACCCCCCCACACCCCCGGGCACTTAAGGTGTGTCATATGGTCCCCTTTCATGGAGGATGGACCCTTCACTGACCCCCCCCACACCCCCGGGCACTTAAGGTGTGTCATATGGTCCCCTTTCATGGAGGATGGACCCTTCACTGACCCCCCCCACACCCCCGGGCACTTAAGGTGTGTCATATGGTGTTCCCTCTTCGAAGAGGATGGACCCTTCACTGACCCCCCCCCGGGAACTTAGGGTGAGTTATATGGTCCCCTTCCAAAGAGGTTGGACCCTTCTCTGATCAACCCCCCCCCCCCCCAGGCACTTAGGGTGAGTTATATGGTTCCCTTCCAAAGAGGTTGGACCCTTCCCTGACTTTGTCCCTTCTGTGTCCCTTTTGTGTCTACAGGAGCCGGGGGTGCAAGGGCCACATGACAGGCCTGGCGGGCCTTGTGTTTGATGTGCAGTACTGTAATGCCGGTAGCGCAGGCTGTTAATATGTGATCTTTCCATCCCCCACTTGTACATTTTTCATCACACAACTTGCAGGTTGTCACCGCTCAGGGGTACCTGGCGGGGGCTGGGATGACAGCGACAGCGGCCACAGCTCACAGGACTCCATCCAGGACAAGTCCTCCCGCAGTCTCTCCTCTGACGCCGCTAGCAAGACGGGCAGCGACTGCCAATCCCGGAGCGGCAATAGAGAGGGCGCCGACACCACTGACAGGTAAAGTGTCGTTCATCGGAGGGCGAATCTCCTCCCACTTCCTGTAATCCAACCAGTTATCATTGAGTTCCAAAAATGGCGCCGCGCCTGCACAGGGTCCAGGATCCATCTCTGGCGTGTATTCCCTGTGTGCTCACCTAGAGAGAGATTAAAGAGAACCGGTCATGGCTGAGGTATGTTCCATGCTCAATACTCACCCTTCAGTTACCCAAATGTCACCCCGTTACATCCCTAACCTGTCCCCTAGTAAGAGCAGCACCTCGGAGCCACAGAAACCCCCAATATTACATCACATGGATGGGCCGCGTTGTGTATATTATATGACAGTACCAGTTCCTTCGCATTTCAGAGCCCCGGGGTGCATTGTGAGAAAATGTACCCTCCCCCCTTCAGTGCACTCTTTCACTCTCCTTTGTCAGTCTGTAGGGTATGTACCAGTGACACCTCCTAGGTCAGTCTGTAGGGTAAGTACCAGTGACACCTCCTAGGTCAGTCTGTTGGGTAAGTACCAGTGACACCTCCTAGGTCAGTCTGTAGGGTAAGTACCAGTGACACCTCCTAGGTCAGTCTGTAGGGTATGTACCAGTGACACCTCCTAGGTCAGTCTGTAGGGTATGTACCAGTGACACCTCCTAGGTCAGTCTGTAGGGTATGTACCAGTGACACCTCCTAGGTCAGTCTGTAGGGTATGTACCAGTGACACCTCCTAGGTCAGTCTGTAGGGCATGTACCAGTGACACCTCCTAGGTCAGTCTGTAGTGTATGTACCAGTGACACCTCCTAGGTCAGTCTGTAGGGTAAGTACCAGTGACACCTCCTAGGTCAGTCTGTAGGGTATGTACCAGTGACACCTCCTAGGTCAGTCTGTAGGGTAAGTACCAGTGACACCTCCTAGGTCAGTCTGTAGGGTATGTACCAGTGACACCTCCTAGGTCAGTCTGTAGGGTATGTACCAGTGACACCTCCTAGGTCAGTCTGTAGGGTATGTACCAGTGACACCTCCTAGGTCAGTCTGTAGGGTATGTACCAGTGACACCTCCTAGGTCAGTCTGTAGGGTAAGTACCAGTGACACCTCCTAGGTCAGTCTGTAGGGTAAGTACCAGTGACACCTCCTAGGTCAGTCTGTAGGGTATGTACCAGTGACACCTCCTAGGTCAGTCTGTAGGGCATGTACCAGTGACACCTCCTAGGTCAGTCTGTAGGGCACGTACCAGTGACACCTCCTAGGTTAGTCTGTAGGGCACGTACCAGTGACACCTCCTAGGTCAGTCTGTAGGGCATGTACCAGTGACACCTCCTCTGGTGTCAGTCTGTAGGGCATGTACCAGTGACACCTCTCCTCTGGTGTCAGTCTGTAGTGTATGTACCAGTGACACCTCCTAGGTCAGTCTGTAGAGTATGTACCAGTGACACCTCCTAGGTCAGTCTGTAGGGCACGTACCAGTGACACCTCCTAGGTCAGTCTGTAGGGCACGTACCAGTGACACCTCCTAGGTCAGTCTGTAGGGCATGTACCAGTGACACCTCCTAGGTCAGTCTGTAGGGCATGTACCAGTGACACCTCCTCTGGTGTCAGTCTGTAGGGCATGTACCAGTGACACCTCCTAGGTCAGTCTGTAGGGTAAGTACCAGTGACACCTCCTAGGTCAGTCTGTAGGGTATGTACCAGTGACACCTCCTAGGTCAGTCTGTAGGGTATGTACCAGTGACACCTCCTAGGTCAGTCTGTAGGGTATGTACCAGTGACACCTCCTAGGTCAGTCTGTAGGGTATGTACCAGTGACACCTCCTAGGTCAGTCTGTAGGGTATGTACCAGTGACACCTCCTAGGTCAGTCTGTAGGGTATGTACCAGTGACACCTCCTAGGTCAGTCTGTAGGGTATGTACCAGTGACACCTCCTAGGTCAGTCTGTAGGGTAAGTACCAGTGACACCTCCTAGGTCAGTCTGTAGGGCACGTACCAGTGACACCTCCTAGGTTAGTCTGTAGGGTATGTACCAGTGACACCTCCTAGGTCAGTCTGTAGGGCACGTACCAGTGACACCTCCTAGGTTAGTCTGTAGGGCACGTACCAGTGACACCTCCTAGGTCAGTCTGTAGGGCATGTACCAGTGACACCTCCTCTGGTGTCAGTCTGTAGGGCATGTACCAGTGACACCTCCTCTGGTGTCAGTCTGTAGTGTATGTACCAGTGACACCTCCTAGGTCAGTCTGTAGAGTATGTACCAGTGACACCTCCTAGGTCAGTCTGTAGGGCATGTACCAGTGACACCTCCTAGGTCAGTCTGTAGGGCATGTACCAGTGACACCTCCTAGGTCAGTCTGTAGGGCATGTACCAGTGACACCTCCTCTGGTGTCAGTCTGTAGGGCATGTACCAGTGACACCTCCTCTGGTGTCAGTCTGTAGGGTAAGTACCAGTGACACCTCCTCTGGTGTCAGTCTGTAGGGCATGTACCAGTGACACCTCCTAGGTCAGTCTGTAGGGCATGTACCAGTGACACCTCCTCTGGTGTCAGTCTGTAGGGCATGTACCAGTGACACCTCCTCTGGTGTCAGTCTGTAGGGCATGTACCAGTGACACCTCCTCTGGTGTCAGTCTGTAGGGCATGTACCAGTGACACCTCCTCTCACTTTTCTTCCCTCTCCCTGCACAGAGTGGAGCCGTCTCACCCCGGTGATTGTCTACAGGAGGCTCAGCTGGTTCTGACGGTGACCCGGGGGGACAGAGTGTTCCTGACACAAGACGAAGTGCAGCATTTCATCAGAGGGTGAGTGGTGACACCCCCAGGACTCCCGTGACGGATTCGTCATGACAGGACCAGCCACAGACGACAGTCAAGGTTAAGTCGCTGGGTGCTGTCATGTCGCTGCACATGTCTGAAGATCCGTACATGTGTAACCCCTTCCTGCCCAGCCCCCCCATTACTGTAAGAGGGTCTATACTCCGGGAGAAGAGAAGGATTGTCCAATCATATGACCACTGAGATTGGCTGTCAGAGTGGTCACATGACCAGGAGCCAGTTCGACCGGCAGAGGCTGTGAGCTGTCTGACAGCTCGGTCACAGAGAGCTCTGCCAGTCATGGATGCAAATGTGCAGAGGCAGAGGAGGGGCTTGAAGGTGCACACAACGCACACATGCACCCACGGCTGGTTGTAGATATAATCCATCTAATAAAAGCAAACCGCTTCTAATAGGGATGCGCCGATGCCGGTATCAGTGCCGATGCGAGTATTTTCATGAATACTCAACTCCTGAAAATCCTTCCATTACCTTAATTGATACTTTTCTGTGCGATTTGCTTTATTGGATGCAAAGATTAGCATGCAGTGTGAACAGGGATGCGATTCTTGTCCAAAAATGCATGCGGCTTCCTCACTGCTCCTGTGTGATCCCAGGCTTGTCATACACCGAGATCACACGGGATCACACGGGATGACACGGGATCACACAGGAGCGGTGCGGGAAACTTCCCTGCAGGCATTCCATGCTGAGTCTCAGTGGTAGGAGAGAGAGCCGCAGACCTGAGAAGCCACTTTCTCTCCTCTTCTTGCAGCGATGACAGTTCAGGCTTGACAGCATCGGATTGGTCAGCACTGCCCATGTGCCGGTACTGACCAATCAGAAATCCTCTAGCGTGAACTGTGATCTCTGCAAGGAGAAGAAAGAGAGCCCGGAGATTTCAAATCTGTCCCTCTCCCACCACTGACACCAAGCATGAGATGCCTGCAGGAAAGTTTCCCGCACCGTGGGATCTATGACAAGCCTGGCTTCACAGAGGAGCAGGGAGGAGACCGCATACGATTGGTCAGGAATCACATGCTTGTCTGTGCCGTGCAGTTTGTGGTGCAATTTGCATTAACCACTTCCAGTCCGGACACCTCCCTCCCCCCTTCCAGTCTGGACGCTTCCCCCCCCCCCTTCCAGTCTGGACGCTTCCCCCCCCCCCCCCTTCCAGTCCGGACGCTTCCCCCCCCCCCCCCCTTCCAGTCCGGACGCTTCCCCCCCCCCCCCCCTTCCAGTCCGGACGCTTCCCCCCCCCCCCCTTCCAGTCTGGACGCTTCACCCCCCCCCCCCCCTTCCAGTCTGGACGCTCCCCCCCCCTTCCAGTCCGGACGCTTCCCCCCCCCCCCCTTCCAGTCCAGACGCTTCCCCCCCCCCCCTTCCAGTCCGGACGCTTCCCCCCCCCCCCTTCCAGTCTGGACGCTTCCACCCCCCCCCCCCCCTTCCAGTCCGGACGCTTCCCCCCCCCCCCTTCCAGTCTGGACGCTTCCAATTCCCCCCCCCCCCCCCCCCCCTTCCAGTCCGGACGCTTCCCCCCCCCCCCTTCCAGTCCGGACGCTTCCCCCCCCCCCCTTCCAGTCCCGGACGCTTCCCCCCCCCCCCCTTCCAGTCTGGACGCTTCCCCCCCCCCCCCCTTCCAGTCTGGACGCTCCCCCCCCCCCCCTTCCAGTCCGGACGCTTCCCCCCCCCCCCCTTCCAGTCCAGACGCTTCCCCCCCCCCCCCCCCTTCCAGTCCGGACGCTTCCCCCCCCCCCCCCCCAGTTCCAGTCCGGACGCTTCATTCCCCCCCCCCCCCTTCCAGTCCGGACACTCCCTCCCCCCTTCCAGTCTGGACGCTTCCCCCCCCCCCCCCTTCCAGTCTGGACGCTCCCCCCCCCCCCCCCCCCCCCTTCCAGTCCGGACGCTTCCACCCCCCCCCCCCCCCCCAGTCCTTCCAGTCCGGACGCTTCCCCCCCCCCCCCCCTTCCAGTCCGGACGCTTTCCCCCCCCCCCCTTCCAGTCCGGACGCTTCCCCCCCCCCCCCCCTTCCAGTCTGGACGCTTCCCCCCCCCCCTTCCAGTCTGGACGCTCCCCCCCCCCCTTCCAGTCCGGACGCTTCCCCCCCCCCCCCCCTTCCAGTCCAGACGCTTCCCCCCCCCCCCCCCCCCCCTTCCAGTCTGGACGCTTCCCCCCCCCCCCCCCTTCCAGTCCGGACGCTTCCCCCCCCCCTTCCAGTCCTGGACGCTTCCCCCCCCCCCCCTTCCAGTCCGGACGCTTCCCCCCCCCCCCCCCTTCCAGTCCAGTCCGACGCTTCCCCCCCCCCCCCCCTTCCAGTCCGGACGCTTCCCCCCCCCCCCCTTCCAGTCCTGGACGCTTCCCCCCCCCCCTTCCAGTCTGGACGCTTCCCCTCCCCCCCCCCCCTTCCAGTCCGGACGCTTCCCCCCCCCCCCCCCCTTCCAGTCCGACGCTTCCCCCCCCCCCCCTTCCAGTCCGGACGCTTTCCCCCCCCCCCCTTCCAGTCCGGACGCTTCCCCCCCCCCTTCCAGTCCGGACGCTTCCCCCCCCCCCCCCCCTTCCAGTCCGGACGCTTCCCCCCCCCCCTTCCAGTCCGACGCTTCCCCCCCCCCCCCCCCCTTCCAGTCCGGACGCTTCCCCCCCCCCCCCCCTTCCAGTCCGGACGCTTCCCCCCCCCCCCTTCCAGTCCGGACGCTTCCCCCCCCCCCCTTCCCCCCCCCCTTCCGGACGCTTCCCCCCCCCCCCCCTTCCAGTCCGGACGCTCCCCCCCCCCCCCCCCCTTCCAGTCCGGACGCTTCCCCCCCCCCCTTCCAGTCCCCCCGCTCCCCCCCCCCCCCCCCTTCCAGTCCGGACGCTTCCCCCCCCCCCCTTCCAGTCCGGACGCTTCCCCCCCCCCCCTTTCAGTCCGGACGCTTCCCCCCCCCCCCCCCCTTCCAGTCCGGACGCTCCCCCCCCCCCCTTCCAGTCCGGACGCTTCCCCCCCTCCCCCTTCCAGTCCGGACGCTTCCCCCCCTCCCCCTTCCAGTCCGGACGCTTCCCCCCTCCCCCTTCCAGTCCGGACACTTCCCCCCCCCCCCCCCAAGCCAGCTTTCAGCGCTATCACACTTTGAATGACAATTGCGCGGTCATGCAACACTGTACCCAGATGAGTTTTTTAGCATTTTTTGAGACAGATAAAACTTTATTTTGGTGGTATTTATTCACCGCTGGGATTTTTTATGTTTTTTGCTATATAAATGAAAAAGTCCAAAAATTTTGAAAAAGTTTTTCTTATAACATTTTTCAAATAAATAATCTTTCTTCATAAATCTCGGCCAAAATGTATTCCGCTTTTTAGTAGAAAAAATAACGCAAATTAGTTTATAACCAAACAATATAATTTTTCAAATCTTTTTTTTTTTTTTATATATATTTAATTTTTTTTTACATACTGTCACCCTAGCAGTGTGGGGTTACCATGGTGATACTGTACTACTTGTGGGGGGTGATGAAGATTTTTTTTTTTTTTTTTTTTACACTGATTGCTTTTACACCCATAAAAGCTGTAAGAAGAATCATCTCTCCTTCTTTCTGGCTGCATTCTTGCAGCCATTGAGAAATACTGTGAGAGCTGTGATTGGTCACAGCTTGTCACATGGTACAAGGCTGCTGTGAATGGACCTGTATCATGTGATCTCTGTGATCATTCACAGATTTCACACGTAGTAAGCAATGATGTCAGGAAGTGACAGTCTACTACTGTTCATGTGATCACTGATTGGCCAATCGGTGATCACATGATCGGGACCTCACACAGAGGGCACCGGATCGTGGTGCCGTGCGCTCCAAGGGAGCACACACAATCCAAAATGGCGGGCGCCATTTATGAATGGCAACCCGTCCCTGCACTGCTACCGTCCGGCTGTTTTATATACGACGGCCGGACGGGAAGTGGTTAATGGATGCAAAGTATCGGTACTCGGTATCGGCGACTACTTGGCGACAGTATCAGTACTTGTACTCGCCGAAAAAAGAAAAACGGGATCTGTGCATCTGTGATTTCTGACTTTGTATTCATAAACGTACATCAGGGTCGGCCGTATTCACCCCGCAGGGCGTGGATCCCGTTTAGTGGCTGTGCGCAGTGATCGCGTTGTACGAATTCTCTCCCTCCCTATTGGTCTGATATTGGAGGATCCCGTTTAGTGGCTGTGCGCAGTGATCACGTTGTACGAATTCTCTCCCTCCCTATTGGTCTGATATTGGAGGATCCCGTTTAGTGGTTGTGCGCAGTGATCGCGTTGTACGAATTCTCTCCCTCCCTATTGGTCTGATGTTAGTGGATCCCGTTTAGTGGCTGTGCGCAGTGATCGCGTTGTACGAATTCTCTCCCTCCCTATTGGTCTGATATTGGAGGATCCCGTTTAGTGGCTGTGCGCAGTGATCACGTTGTACGAATTCTCTCCCTCCCTATTGGTCTGATATTGGAGGATCCCGTTTAGTGGTTGTGCGCAGTGATCGCGTTGTACGAATTCTCTCCCTCCCTATTGGTCTGATGTTAGTGGATCCCGTTTAGTGGCTGTGCGCAGTGATCGCGTTGTACGAATTCTCTCCCTCCCTATTGGTCTGATATTGGAGGATCCCGTTTAGTGGCTGTGCGCAGTGATCACGTTGTACGAATTCTCTCCCTCCCTATTGGTCTGATGTTAGTGGATCCCGTTTAGTGGCTGTGCGCAGTGACCACGTTGTACGAATTCTCTCCCTCCCTATTGGTCTGATATTGGAGGATCCCGTTTAGTGGCTGTGCGCAGTGATCGCGTTGTACGAATTCTCTCCCTCCCTATTGGTCTGATATTGGAGGATCCCGTTTAGTGGCTGTGCGCAGTGATCGCGTTGTACGAATTCTCTCCCTCCCTATTGGTCTGATGTTAGTGGATCCCGTTTAGTGGTTGTGCGCAGTGATCGCGTTGTACGAATTCTCTCCCTCCCTATTGGTCTGATATTGGAGGATCCCGTTTAGTGGCTGTGCGCAGTGATCGCGTTGTACGAATTCTCTCCCTCCCTATTGGTCTGATGTTAGTGGATCCCGTTTAGTGGTTGTGCGCAGTGATCGCGTTGTACGAATTCTCTCCCTCCCTATTGGTCTGATGTTAGTGGATCCCCTTTAGTGGTTGTGCGCAGTGATCGCGTTGTACGAATTCTCTCCCTCCCTATTGGTCTGATATTGGAGGATCCCGTTTAGTGGTTGTGCGCAGTGATCGCATTGTACGAATTCTCTCCCTCCCTATTGGTCTGATGTTAGTGGATCCCGTTTAGTGGCTGTGCGCAGTGATCGCGTTGTACGAATTCTCTCCCTCCCTATTGGTCTGATATTGGAGGATCCCGTTTAGTAGTTGTGCGCAGTGATCGCGTTGTACGAATTCTCTCCCTCCCTATTGGTCTGATGTTAGTGGATCCCGTTTAGTGGTTGTGCGCAGTGATCGCGTTGTACGAATTCTCTCCCTCCCTATTGGTCTGATGTTAGTGGATCCCGTTTAGTGGCTGTGCGCAGTGATCGCGTTGTACGAATTCTCTCCCTCCCTATTGGTCTGATATTAGAGGAACCAATCAAGGTGGTCTGGCTTGTAACCATGAAATAATAATTGCAGCACTTCAGATACATTCCAATTCTACAACGTGATGTCATAGTTTCCCTCTTCAGACATAACAGTCCACATCCACCACCAGAATACCCGCCCCGAGGTCCGTGCGAATCTCCTCCCACCAAACGGACAAAATGCGCACTCACCGCAAGGATGTGCTGCCAGACCATCAGCAGCAAACAAGCATCTACACTATCAGTCACAAGTTCCACAGGACTGGTCACGCCACACTTCTTCCTCCACTGGGAACCGCTCTGTGCTCATGAAACCACGCCATAAAGTAATCACTGCCACTCCGGGGGAACTGATGTGGCGGCATGACGTCACGCTCTCGTAGCTCCACCCAACGCGTTTCACGCCAATGCACGTCCTCAGGGGCCGTCTTGTAAATGATTTTATCTCGAGCAGTCATACAGCTTTTGTTTCAGCAGTGTGTGGTTGCTGACAAGACTCCGTACATCTCCTGTGGACTACGCTGGTGAGATAATGCCACCTCCTCCCGCAGGTTGGGGACCAGGGAATTCGGGGGTTCAACACACCACCCCCCAATACTAAACCTGTATTATAAGGTGACATTGACCTGTAACGGGTCCAATGTTCTTTCTAAATGAGATCCTGTTCTGTGTTTCCTGCAGATGCTCTCTCCTGAACTGTGAGGTCGTCTTTGAGATGTTGAATCGCTCGCTGGAAGATGACAATTCGGGTGTAAAACTGGTGAGGATGAGACCGCGAACCGCATTTCTGAGAAGCGCATTCACGTGGCACAATCCACCCTTCCACGTGGCACAATCCACCCTTCCACACTGCACCATCCACCCTTCCAGGTGGCACCATCCACCCTTCCAGGTGGCACCATCCACCCCACCCTTCCACGTGGCACCATCCACCCTTCCACGCCGCACCATCCACCCTTCCGCGCCGCACCATCCACCCTTCCGCGCCGCACCATCCACCCTTCCACGTCGCACCATCCACCCTTCCAGGCCGCACCATCCACCCTTCCAGGCCGCACCATCCACCCTTCCAGGCCGCACCATCCACCCTTCCAGGCCGCACCATCCACCCTTCCAGGCCGCACCATCCACCCATCCAGGCCGCACCATCCACCCTTCCACGTGGCTTGATCCACCCTTCCAGGCCGCACAATCCACCCTTCCAGGCCGCACAATCCACCCACTACATATATAATCATGGAAGTGCAGATGGGCGCCCCAGCAGCCTGCTACCTTTTGGGTTGGGGGATCACTGCATTTATCTGTTTGTACAGAACTCACTCCTGTAGGGTCATGCCACTGTGACCCTACCAGCCACCGGCGCTCACTTCCTCCTCATCTGGTTCCTTCGCCCCTTGGCAGAAGTGACACGTGCAGCAGTGGCACACAGGAGCGGTTATGTCTCCGTTACATGGAGTCTGAGGGTTTCCTACTCTTGTTCCTGGGACGGATCACTGGCAGATGCTGCGGCGCAATGTGGGTGGGATTTTCCTTCTCCTGGCTTCCGATTCGCTGTTGCCAGCTAGACCTCTGCCTGTCCCCTGAGCAACGTAAGCCAACCCCTTCCCTCTTTTCTCCAGCCACACCCCGGAATGTTTGGGTGGCCTAGGTCGGCCCGCCCCTCCCTCTGCAAACTCCTCCCCCACATCTTCAGGGCATACAGACGCCGGAGCCAGTAGAGAGGAGGAGCCAAGCGCCTGGACGAGGAAGGAGCCTCCGCTGATTGGTGAGTGGTGCCTGGGAGCGGCCAGAGCTCGACTCTGCCCATTGTCTGTGCATGGATCCAGGAGAGTGCTGGCTGTGATTGGGAGAAGGAGCCCAGCCTGGGGGGTGAGAGATGCTGGATGGGCAGGGGGTGGTGTGCCGGGTGTAGGGATCAGTGCTGGGGTGAGCAGGGGGTGGTGTGCCGGGTGTAGGGATCAGTGCTGGGGTGAGCAGGGGGGTGGTGTGCCGGGTGTAGGGATCAGTGCTGGGGTGAGCAGGGGGTGGTGTGCCGGGTGTAGGGATCAGTGCTGGGGTGGGCAGGGGGTGGTGTGCCGGGTGTAGGGATCAGTGCTGGGGTGAGCAGGGGGTGGTGTGCCGGGTGTAGGGATCAGTGCTGGGGTGAGCAGGGGGTGGTGTGCCGGGTGTAGGGATCAGTGCTGGGGTGGGCAGGGGGTGGTGTGCCGGGTGTAGGGATCAGTGCTGGGGTGAGGCTACTACATCATGAGAGCTTCAAACCATGCAGGAGAGAATTTTTGATGAAAGTTGATTGTTGTGTTGCCTAAATACACCATTGGCCTCAGGTGATAGACAGAGATGAAACAAATCCTCCTACATAAGTGGTACCTGTTTATCTGCAGAATTCTGTCCCCTACATCCATTCATAGTGCAGAATTTACACAGGATCTCTCAGTTATGAAAAGCAGGGGGTGGGGAGCTGAAGTTACATCAGTGAGGAGAGCTCTGAGAGCTGATTGGAGGGAAGAGACACCACCCCTTCACACAACACCAGAAAAGAGCTGAGGCTGTCAATCACAGGCTGTGCCCTCCCCCGTCACCATTTTTCACTTGGTGTCAGGAAACTTGTTAGAAGTGACTCACGCTTACAGCAGAGGAAGGAGGCAGCAGATAGAAATGACACTTTGCTCTGGACTGAGACAGGTACACACTGTAGAGGGATGTGCTTTGTTCATATTTCATGTCTGAGGTTTACACTTCCTATTACATCAGAGTCCCCCCTATACATCAGTGGTTCTCTATACATGAGTCCCACCCTCACATCAGACCCTCACCATCACCACAGAGCCTGCCCCCTCCCCATCATGACAGAGCCCCCCAATCCCAAAGCCCCTTCTTCACAGCAGAGCCATACCTTTTGCCTCCAGCAGTATGGCAGAGGGCAGGAGGTGGACGTCTTGTTCTGAATGCTGGGGGTGGTCCGGCGTGTCTCCATCCTTTGATCAGAGTCCAGCATTGCCAGGCAAGCCAGATTCCGTTTCCATAGCGATGACTGACGCCGTGCCTCCTGGCCCTAGAGAGTCATTGGTGGTGATGGCGGCCAGCCTGCCCCCACCATGGCAACCCATGACCTTGGTCCACCCGTATTGGTGTCACCTGCTTGAGAAACACTGAATTAGTGTGAATGGAGCTGAATCCGCTTTATTTTCCAGCACGTCAGAGGACACTCCGCCCCAGTGGTACTTTCAGATGCATTTACCCCCCCCCACCCCCCCCCCTCTGGGGTTTAATCTACACTCAAGCCCCAGTAGGGGGCGTGTCATTAAGAGGTGATGCTGTGAAGTGTTCTCTGATGTCTTGGAACAATAAAGCTGATTTTAGCTTTTAGGAAGCGCAACATGCGGCTCCATCCATCCATCCATCCATCCATGCAGATCTGTTGTGTGTTAGAAATGTTGTCATTGTTTAGTTCACGTTGTGTTTTCTTACAGCGCTCCATGTGTGCGATCGCTTCCCTCATGACCTCTGACCTGCTGTCACATGACCACATGTTGGCCGTAGTGAGACGCAACCTGCAGAAACTAAGTGGAGGACCCGTGGGCCCGGTGATGGACAAAGCCAGAAAGGTGCTAAAGCCTTGTCTCTTGTTTACCCCAGACACGTCATTATTATACGGGATTTATATGGCGCCAACAGTTTGCGTAGCGCTGTACAATATACAGGGGGGCGGTACAAGTACAATACAGAAGGAATAGGAGGGCCCTGCCCTGTATACACAGATGTAGCTCAAGGGAACCAATGATTATTTCCAAAAAGATCCACAGATACTATCACTGCCATCCTTGTATAGCTGCAACCTCCTACTTCCTCTGCACCGCTTCCTGCAATATCAGACCAGGAGCTCGCAGTCATAACCTCATCACTAATCGCACTCCCTGGGACTACGTGTCCCATCTGTTTCAGCACCGCCATGCATGCATGCCATGTCACACGCCCCGCCACGCACAGGCAGCCCGGAATACAAGACATGCCTCCTCCAAGGGAAGTGATTGACAGCAGCTTCTGAGACTGCGGCTGGTCTGCCTCCCTTGCAGATAAGAGCAAAGGAAGAGGTTCAATTTAATAGCAGCCCCCCCCCCCCAACCAGCCAGGAATGGAAACCCTGTGTAAGCTCTGGTTGGATTTCCTGCTGGAGCTTACACAGAACTCATTCCTCGCCCCCATGTGACAGAGCTGAGCCAATCCCCACCAGCGCTGTCACATCGAGTGAGTCACATGCTCCTCCACACCCTGAAGTACCAGATAATTTCTTTGCCTGTCTGGGGCAGAGGATGAAGGGTGATAATGTACAGCTGGTGGGGTGGGCTTTAACCCCGTCACTGCCATGGGTGTAAGGGTTACATCAGAACCAGGGGTGGACTGACCATTTGGACACTAGGGCACTTCCTGAGGGCCCGGGTCAGTAGGGGGCCCCATGAGATGTCCTTTGTACCTTTCATAGGTATTTTTGGGAGTGGTTTGAGTGTAGGTGAGGACACAGGGGCCCTATGATCTCTTATTGTCCAGGGGCCCCATGAGTTGTCAGTCCGCCCCTGATCAGAACAGAACTGATTGCAGTCCACTGCATTTTCTGCTCATACACGGACAGTTCTTTTCAGGCTGAACAGGAGGGAAAAAAAAAACTGACCGATTCCTCCATCCATGCTATATAGCAGCGGTCTCTACACTGCGGCCTGCGGGCTGGATATGTGTCTTTATTTATTCTAGGTACTTATATAGTGCCATCAATTTATGGAGCGCTTTACATAGAAATATTGTATGAAAAATTCTAATAAACTGCGCAAATATCCCACGCTGTGCAAAACTGCAAACGCACCCGGAGGATATCCGCTCTGAAATGACAAATACAAAATAATTTAGTGTTGTGCTAAGTGTGAGCAAACAGTTATAGAGATATATAGAAATATATAAAATAATACAGAAACAGTAAAGTCATCAAAATCCACGTCAGTGACATCAATCACAAACAGTCCATATACAGTGGGGATGGAAAGTTTGGGCCCCCCAGCTAAAAATGTGTATTAATGTGCATAAAGAAGCCAAGGAAAGATGGAAAAATCTCCAAAAGGCATCAAATTACAGATTAGACATTCTTATAATATGTCAACAAAAGTTAGATTTTATTTCCATCATTTACACTTTCAAAATAACAGAAAACAAAAAAATGGCGTCTGCAATAGTTTGGGCACCCTGCAGAATTTCTAGCATGCACTGCCCCCTTTGCCAAGCTGAGACCTGCCAGTGTCATGGATTGTTCTCAATCATCGTCTGGGAAGACCAGGTGATGTCAATCTCAAAGGTTTTAAATGCCCCGACTCATCTGCCCTTGCCCCAACAATCAGCAGCACCATGGGTTCTTCTAAGCAGTTGTCTAGAAAACTGAAACTGAAAATAGTTGACGCTCACAAAGCTGGAGAAGGCTATAAGAAGATAGCAAAGCGTTTTCAGATGTCAATATCCTCTGTTCGGAATGTCATTAAGAAATGGCCGTCATCAGGAACAGTGGAAGTTAAAGCAAGATCTGGAAGACCAAGAAAAATATCAGACAGAACAGCTCGCAGGATTGTGAGAAAAACAATTGAAAACCCACGTTTGACTGCACGATCCCTCCAGAAACATCTGGCAGACACTGGAGTTGTGGTCACTATTCCACTATAAAGAGATACTTGTACAAATATGGTCTTCATGGAAGAGTCATCAGAAGAAAACCTCTTCTACGTCCTCACCACAAAAATCATCGTTTGAACTTTGCAAATGAACATATAGACAAGCCTGATGCATTTTGGAAACAAGTTCTGTGGACCGATGAGGTTAAAATGGAACTTTTTGGCCGGAATGAGCAAAGGTACGTTTGGAGAAGAAGGGGCACAGAATTGAATGAAAAGAACCTCTGTCCAACTGTGAAGCATGGGGTTGGATCAATCATGCTTTGGGGTTGTGTTGCAGCCAGTGGCACAGGGAACATCTCCCGAGTAGAAGGAAAAATGGATTCAATAAAATTGCAGCAAATTTTGGATGGTAACTTGATACCATCTGTGAAAAAGCTGAAGTTAAAGAGAGGATGGCTTCTACAAATGGATAATGATCCTAAACACACCTTGAAATCCAGGGGGGATTACATCAAGAGGCGTAAACTGAAGGTTTTGCCATGGCCTTCACAATCTCCTGACCTCAACATCATTGAAAAATCTATGGATAGACCTTAAAAGAGCCGTGCGTGACAGACAGCCCAGAAATCTCAAAGAACTGGAAGACTTTTGTAAGGAAGAATGGGCAAAGATACCTCAAACAAGAATTGAAAGACTCTTGGCTGGCTACAAAAAGCGTTTACAAGCCGTGATACTTGCCAAAGGGGGCAGTACAAGATATTAACTCTGCAGGGGGCCCAAACTTTTGCAGACGCCATTTTTTTGTTTTCTGTTATTTTGAAAGTGTAAATGATGGAAATAAAATCTAACTTTTGTTGACATATTATAAGAATGTCTAATCTGGAATTTGATGCCTTTTGGAGATTTTTCCATCTTTCCTTGGCTTCTTTATGCACATTAATACACATTTTTAGCTGGGGGGCCCAAACTTTCCATCCCCACTGTAGGTGTAAATCAGTCCCTGGATTCCTACAATCAACAGTGATGATTCTTCCTTCCACCATAACCACCAATGTGAATGGCCAGCACCGTGTTGTCAAATCGGAGGCCTTCCTTATCCTTTCACCCCTTTATTATAGGGGGTCATAACGCGCTCAATGTGAATATTATTATCTGGGACCCTATGGACCCCTCAGATATCATCAAGCCGTCCTGACATTAGGGGTCAGCCCCGGAAGACTGCTGGTTATGACACGCGCGTTGGGCGGAGCCTCCCTTCTGATGTCATCGAGTTGTCCGCCATTTTGGACTATCCCTATGGATTGATGCTTTTTATCTTCAGCGTTTGTGCGATTCTGTTTGTTTTCGTTGGTTTTCCTGCACTATGAGAGGCACCTCTTTATTTTGCATGAGCTGATCTTGACCCCAACCGTCGGGATGGCTTGATGATATAGTTCCAGCGAATGAGACATGAAGACTAGGAGGCGGGGCCTGGCAGGGAAAGGGTTAAATCGACCTCGCAGGGACCAATCACAAGTCCCGTGTCAGCGAACTGCTTGTTACTTTTTTTTTTTTTTTTGCTTTTCCTGCAGATCCTCCTTCAGTTTGAAGCACTCACTGGACTTTCTCCTAAAGGTGGAGCTTCACGACATTCGCTGTTACCAGCCCGCCCCTGAGGAGTTCCCTGGACCTTTTAAATGACATTGTACCGCAGTCAGAAGAGGAGACTTTGCTGGCCCCCTCCAATGCTCCCCCTTCCCCCTCTCCAGGATTGGACGCCCTGACTGCTGCTCATGGCAATGGTAACACATGGAAGGAAGGCCGAGTTGTGGACTCGGTGAGATCGGCCCCTGAGGGTTGCTCAGAAGCCCCCTCCCTGAACGGCGTACACGGGTGTTTGTCGCTGTTCGATGGAATGGATTTGGTGACGCAAGTGCGGAGCAGTGCAAAAACCAAGCCGGCATTAGAGCCGCCCGTCACAAACCATCACACTGACTCCGTATCACAGCCGAGAAATGCCCCGCCGTGCCTCCCCTCTGCATTCTCCTTCCTGAACACATGAGGGCGCACTAACCTGCACACAGCGCCCCCCCTCTGGTGTGGATGAGCAGCTGCAGCACATTGCATCTTTCTGTACAATGATGGTGAATCTGATGATCAAGTGAAATGATTGGAGGCGGCAGCATCCTGGACTGTCCCGCAGGAGAACAGGCGGCAGGAATCACCAAGGTGCAAGTATTTCTATTAAAGTATAAACCGATCACTAAAGTCTCCCATCAGCGTCACTATTCTTGTCGTTTCAAATGGACTTTGCAATCTGCGCCTTTTATTCGAATAATCCCGGTGATCCTGCCATAAAGGGCCTTCATTCAGAACTAGTAAGGTGACCACGCCCTGTCCCTGCCCCCCATTGTGCTTCTATGTTGTCACCCAGGCACATGGACTTCTGATGGAAACTACAAGTGGCCATTTTCATTTGCATGACACAGACATGGCCTACTGTTGTCACCATCAGGAAACCCGCCCTGAGAAATGTCATGCAGTCATCACTGGGAGCTATGCAGACAGGAAGTGACTGCAAAGAGGCTGCAGGAGATCAGCTGCATTGAGATGCCACAGTGAAGGTAAAGCTCCCTATTGGGACACAGAAGGCAAAAAAACTGACAGAGGTTCTAACCCCCCCCCCCCCCCCCCCCCCCTTACTTACTCCATCCAAAATGGAAAAAATGTTTTGCCTATAGATCTACTTGAGAGCCGTATTAAAACCAAAAGTCATCTCTGACCGGGACATGGACGGGAAGGGATCACACGGTCCCTATGGGGGGTTCATAGTGACCTCTGACCGGGACATGGACGGGAGGGGGTCACACGGTCCCTATGGGGGGTTCATAGTGACCTCTGACCGGGACATGGACGGGAGGGGGTCACACGGTCCCTATGGGGGGTTCATAATGACCTCTGACCGGGACATGGACGGGAAGGGATCACACGGTCCCTGTGGTGGGTTCATAGTGATCTCTGACCGGGACATGGACGGGAAGGGATCACACGGTCCCTGTGGTGGGTTCATAGTGATCTCTGACCGGGACATGGACGGGAAGGGATCACACGGTCCCTGTGGTGGGTTCATAGTGATCTCTGACCGGGACATGGACGGGAAGGGATCACACGGTCCCTATGGGGGGTTCATAGTGACCTCTGACCGGGACATGGACGGGAAGGGATCACACGGTCCCTATGGGGGGTTCATAGTGATCTCTGACCGGGACATGGACGGGAAGGGATCACACGGTCCCTGTGGTGGGTTCATAGTGATCTCTGACCGGGACATGGACGGGAAGGGATCACACGGTCCCTATGGGGGGTTCATAGTGACCTCTGACCGGGACATGGACGGGAAGGGATCACACGGTCCCTATGGGGGGTTCATAGTGATCTCTGACCGGGACATGGACGGGAAGGGATCACACGGTCCCTATGGGGGGTTCATAGTGATCTCTGACCGGGACATGGACGGGAAGGGATCACACGGTCCCTGTGGTGGGTTCATAGTGACCTCTGACCGGGACATGGACGGGAAGGGATCACACGGTCCCTGTGGTGGGTTCATAGTGACCTCTGACCGGGACATGGACGGGAAGGGATCACACGGTCCCTATGGGGGGTTCATAGTGACCTCTGACCGGGACATGGACGGGAAGGGATCACACGGTCCCTATGGGGGGTTCATAGTGACCTCTGACCGGGACATGGACGGGAAGGGGTCACACGGTCCCTATGGGGGGTTCATAGTGATCTCTGACCGGGACATGGACGGGAAGGGATCACACGGGCCCTATGGGGGGTTCATAGTGATCTCTGACCGGGACATGGACGGGAGGGGGTCACACGGTCCCTATGGGGGGTTCATAGTGACCTCTGACCGGGACATGGACGGGAAGGGGTTGTGATCACAATACAGACCTCCTTGGTTGGTGGCTCCAGCAGTGGGAGGAAACTCTTCCATCTCCGGTCTCTGATGACGACACGCGGTCACAGGAAGTTGGAGGAGGAATGGTTTAATCTTAAACTGCGTAGGGGATGGAGGAGCCCCCCCCCCCATTGACTTCTCCATCACGTCCAACAACGCCACCATCAAACCCGCCCCGCAGGCCAGAGTACTGGGTGTCATTCTGGACTCCAACCTATCCTTCCAGCCCCAAGTCCAATCACTAACATACTCGTGCAGACTCCACCTCCGCAACATGCAGGCTCCGCCTCCGCAACATGCAGACTCCGCCTCCGCAACATCGCCAAAATCCACACGTTCCTAACTCCAGAAACCACTAAACAGCTCATCCACTCCCTCATCATATCACGACTCGACTACTGCAACTCCCTCCTCACTGGCCTGCCTCGCCACAGGCTATCCCCGCTTCAGTCCATCCTGAATACGGCTGCCAGACTCATTCACCTTTCCAACCGCTCCATCTCCGCCACCCCCCTCTGCCAATCCCTGCACTGGCCTCCACTCAGTGTCCTCCACCCCCCTCTGCCAATCCCTGCACTGGCCTCCACTCAGTGTCCTCCACCCCTCTCTGCCAATCCCTCCACTGGCCTCCACTCAGTGTCCTTCACCCCCCTCTGCCAATCCCTCCACTGACCTCCATTCATTGTCCTCCACCCCCCTCTGCCAATCCCTCCACTGTCCTTCACTCAGTGTCCTGCACCCCCCTCTGCCAATCCCTCCACTGGCCTCCACTCAGTGTCCTCCACCCCCCTCTGCCAATCCCTGCACTGACCTCCATTCATTGTCCTCCACCCCCCTCTGCCAATCCCTCCACTGGCCTCCACTCAGTGTCCTCCACCCCCCTCTGCCAATCCCTGCACTGGCCTCCACTCAGTGTCCTCCACCCCTCTCTGCCAATCCCTCCACTGGCCTCCATTCAGTGTCCTTCACCCCCCTCTGCCAATCCCTCCACTGGCCTCCACTCAGTGTCCTCCACCCTTCTCTGCCAATCCTCCACTGGCCTCCATTCAGTGTCCTCCACCCCCCTCTGCCAATCCCTCCACTGGCTTCCGATTGCGCAACGGATCAAATTCAAAATCCTAACACTGACGTACAAAGCCGTCCACCATACTGCCCCGAACTACACCACTGACCTAATATCCAAGTACCACCCAACACGCACACTCCGCTCCTCACAAGACCTCCTTCTCTCTAGTTCCCTGGTCTCCTCCTCCCATGCCCGCCTCCAGGACTTCTCCAGGGTGTCAACCCATCCTCTGGAACTCCCTGCCCCAATCCATCAGACTATTACCTACTCTCCTCTCCTTTAGGCGCACCCTGAAAACCCATCTCTTCAGGGAAGCCTACCCCACCCCCTGCTAACTTGCCGACCTCCTCCACTCTTCCTACCACTCCATCCCCCACAGCTATCTCCTCCTGTACCACCATCCCCTCCCCCCTAGATTGTAAGCTCCCAGGATCAGGGCCCTCGATCCCCTCGTGTATCACATTGTATTGGTATTGTTCTGTCACATGTTCTGTCCCCTCTGTAATGTACAGCGCTGAGCCAACTATCGGGGCTTTATAAATACTGTATAATAATAATAATCAGTTATGGGGAGGGAGGAGGTCAGTTATGGGGGAGGGAGGAGATCAGTTATGGGGGAGGGAGGAGCTCAGTTATGGGGAGGGAGGAGGTCAGTTATGGGGAGGGAGGAGGTCAGTTATGGGGAGGGAGGAGGTCAGTTATGGGGGAGGGAGGAGGTCAGTTATGGGGGAGGGAGGAGGTCAGTTATGGGGGAGGGAGGAGGTCAGTTATGGGGGAGGGAGGAGGTCAGTTATGGGGAGGGAGGAGGTCAGTTATGGGGGAGGGAGGTCAGTTATGGGGGAGGGAGGAGGTCAGTTATGGGGGTTGGAGGAGCTTAGTTATGGGGGATGGAGGAGATCAGTTATGGGGGAGGGAGGAGCTCAGTTATGGGGAGGGGGAGGAGGTCAGTTATGGGGAGGGAGGAGGTCAGTTATGGGGGAGGGAGGAGGTCAGTTATGGGGGAGGGAGGAGGTCAGTTATGGGGAGGGAGGTCAGTTATGGGGGAGGGAGGAGGTCAGTTATGGGGGTTGGAGGAGCTTAGTTATGGGGGATGGAGGAGCTCAGTTTTGGAGGTGGAGGAGGTACCTTCTGGGGGGTGAGGTCATTTATGGGGGATAGAGGAGCTCAGTTATGGGAGTTGGAGGAGCTCAGTTATGGGGGATGGAGGTCAGTTTTGGAGGGTGGAGATCCTCAGTTATGGGGGTGGGAGGAGCTCAGTTTTGGTGGATGGAGGAGCTCAGTTTTGGAGGGTGGAGGAGCTCAGTTTTGGCAGATGGAGGAGCTCAGTTTTGGAGGGTGGAGGAGCTCAGTTATGGGGGTGGGAGGAGCTCAGTTTTGGCGGATGGAGGAGCTCAGTTTTGGAGGGTGGAGGAGCTCAGTTTTGGTGGATGGAGGAGCTCAGTTTTGGTGGATGGAGGAGCTCAGTTTTGGAGGGTGGAGGAGCTCAGTTATGGGGGTGGGAGGAGCTCAGTTATGGGGGTGGGAGGAGCTCAGTTTTGGTGGATGGAGGCGCTCAGTTTTGGCGGGTGGAGGAGCTCAGTTATGGGGGTGGGAGGAGCTCAGTTTTGGTGATGGAGGAGCTCAGTTATGGGGGGGGTGGGAGGAGCTCAGTTTTGGTGATGGAGGAGCTCAGTTATGGGGGTGGGAGGAGCTCAGTTTTGGTGATGGAGGAGCTCAGTTATGGGGGTGGGAGGAGCTCAGTTTTGGTGGATGGAGGAGCTCAGTTTTGGCGGGTGGAGGAGCTCAGTTATGGGGGAAGGAGGAGCTCAGTTTTGGCGGATGGAGGAGCTCAGTTTTGGCGGGTGGAGGAGCTCAGTTATGGGGGTGGGAGGAGCTCAGTTTTGGTGGATGGAGGAGCTCAGTTTTGGCGGGTGGAGGAGCTCAGTTTTGGTGGATGGAGGAGCTCAGTTTTGGCGGGTGGAGGAGCTCAGTTTTGGCGGGTGGAGGAGCTCAGTTATGGGGGTGGGAGGAGCTCAGTTTTGGAGGGTGGAGGAGCTCAGTTTTGGCGGGTGGAGGAGCTCAGTTATGAGGAACGACTACACACATTACACTTCGTCCTCCTGGAGCGATGGATTCGGTGAGATCACAACACAGACCTCCTTGGTTGGTGGCTCCAGCAGTGGGAGGAAACTCTTCCATCTCCGGTCTCTGCATACGACACGCGGTCACAGGAAGTTGGAGGAGTAACGGTGCATAGGGCATGGTTTGCGGTTGGAGCGGTGGGGATGTGGAACTCCTCCCACAGTGGGCGGTGTCACTGGGGAGCATCATAACATAAGCCTTTGGCTGCGTTTCTCAGCGACTCCTCCTGCGACGTCGCTCCGCGTCTCCTCCGTATATTACAGGACAGAAATATCTCTTTACATTTTGTGTCTTAAATGTCATTTTCAAATTTGTACATTTTCAGCTTTCATTAAAAATCTATTAAAAATAAAAATCTCCTCGGTGACCCCGCCATGAGGGGGAGTATTCAGGCACTTCCTGTTATAGGGTGACAACGCTTCGCCCGTCTTCCTATCTCTCCTCTGCGTTGTCACTCAGACTTCCGGTGGTGACAACGTTATATAATAATGTTACAATGTAACTACAAATAATAGAATCACATCGTGACAGATAGAAGGAGGCGGAGCGCTGAGCTCTGGGGAGGAGGAAATACTCCACAAGCCATCACCGTCCAATCAGATCCGAGTACAGTGACGTCACTCAGTCTTGACCGCCCAATGATGAAATGACCGACCCGCCTCCTGGTCCACCACGGCGAATACCGAGTATGTGAGCCCCGCCCCTTTTGTGTTCTCCACCAAACTGTGCCTTGAGTCCCCGCCCACCTCCTTTCATTGGCCGCTGCGGCGCCTGTAGTGTGGCAAGAGGCAGCCACTGCAGCCAATGAGGAGCGGTGGGCGGGGCGAGTCCGTTAGGATGTTGTGTGTCGCTGCCATGGAAGTGTAGAGCGCCGAGCGGAGAGGAGAGTGTCAGCTCTGCGGACCAGAGGGGGGCCGAGGGTGAGAAACACCGACAACTCCGCCCACAGACGGGATTCACGACACTGCACCCCCCTAACACACGGATCTCCCCCCCAATACACAGATCACCCCCCCATCTCCCCCCCAATACACAGATCACCCCCCCAATACACAGATCTCCCCCCCAATACACAGATCACCCCCCCCATCTCCCCCCCAATACACAGATCACCCCCCCAATACACAGATCTCCCCCCCAATACACAGATCACCCCCCCATCTCCCCCCCAATACACAGATCTCCCCCCCCAATACACAGATCACCCCCCCAATACACAGATCACCCCCCCATCTCCCCCCCAATACACAGATCTCCCCCCCAATACACAGATCACCCCCCCAATACACAGATCACCCCCCCATCTCCCCCCCAATACACAGATCTCCCCCCCAATACACAGATCACCCCCCCATCTCCCCCCCAATACACAGATCTCTCCCCCAATACACAGATCTCCCCCCCAATACACAGATCTCCCCCCCAATACACAGATCACCCCCCCATCTTTACAGATCACCCCCCCATATTCACAGATCACCCCCCCAATACACAGATCACCCCCCCCCATATTCACAGATCCCCCTCAATACACAGATCACCCCCCCATCTCCCCCCAATACACAGATCACCCCCCAATACACAGATCACCCCCCCATATTTACAGATCCCCCTCAATACACAGATCACCCCCCCATCTCCCCCCAATACACAGATCACCCCCCCCAATACACAGATCCCCCCTCAATACACAGATCACCCCCCCCCCAATACACAGATCCCCCCTCAATACACAGATCACCCCCCCCCCATTTCTACCCTTATACAGTAATGGCTATTTTTCTCTGGGGGGATTTCTTATGGTGACAACAATGGGAGATTTGTGTATAATGTACGATGAAAAGTTCAATTTCTGTCCCCAATGGAAGCCCCTGTCTGGTGACAACATAGGAGCACAGCTGGGAGTCAGGGCTGAGCGTTGTCACCTGATAACTGGAAGTGCTGCAGAGGAATGCTAGATCCCCAGGTGAGGGATGATGTACACTATGGTTGGAGTCGTGCAGCCGGGTCTCTGCCTCAGTGCTAGACGGGACAATGCGGGGGACGGGACAATGCGGGGGACGGGACAATGCGGGGGACGGGACAACACTCATCACACTGAGGTTTAAATGGACCAAAGGGCTGGAGGGACCAGAGAATTTCCTATTGGTCCCCTTGTGATGACATCAGCATGTGAACAGCCAATCCTCAGGGGGCATTTAAATGGCCAATTCAGACTCAGCAGAGGGGAGACAATGAGGATCTCACAAGAGGAGCATTGATGAGCCTCAGAGACCCTCAAACCCCCCAGACTGCAGCTGCTTCACGCTGAACCTCCCCCAACACCGAGTCTTCTCTGTAAGTTGTGTGAAGACTTTGCAGCATCGCAGGAAAGCGTCGCCTCTACTGTGTACTAAACTCTCTGCTTGTCTGTGACCAGAAATCTGACCTCT